GCCGGCGTTAGCTGGTGTCCTGAGCGCTCACCATGGTTGGGCTCTAGCTGTTTGCCTGTTAGCCGGCGTTAGCTGGCGTTAGCCCGTGTTCGGACCAGGCCCTTGGTCACCAGGCCTCTGTAGAACTCCTGCAGATATGTGTAAACACACTTCCAGTCGGGCTCACGCAGTTTCACCATGTCCTCCACGTCCAGCAGCTGAGGACAGTCCACTGTTCTCCTGAGGGAAGGGGTGAGGGGGAGGGGCAAGTGAGGGGAAGTGAGAGGGGAAGGGCAAGTGATGGGGAAAGGGGTGAGGGAGAGGACAGAGGGGCGGGACAGAGGGGGAGGAAAAACAGGGTGAGGGCACACAGTGAACAGGCAGCAGATTGAGTGACACAAAAACTACTTTTGAATTTGACTCGAATCATCAACATCTTGATTTGATTCAAACAGATTTGACTTCAGCGGAATCAACAGTGGAACTGAGCATTGTCCGAGGGGGCGGAGCTACACACTGAATGTCAGAGGGGCGGAGCTACACACTGACTGTCCGAGGGGGCGGAGCTACACAGACTGTCCAAGGGGACGGAGCTACACACTGACTGAGGGGGCGGAACTACACACTGACAGTCCGAGGGGGCGGAGCTACACACTGACAGTCCGAGGGGGCGGAGCTACACACTGACTGTCCGAGGGGGCGGAGCTACACACAGACTGTCCGAGGGGACGGAGCTACACACAGACTGTCCGAGGGGGCGGAGCGACACACTGACTGTCCGAGGGGGCGGAGCTACACACTGATTGAGGGGGCGGAGCTACACCCTGACTGTCCGAGGGAGCGGAGCGACACACTGACTGTCCGAGGGGGCGGAGCTACACACTGAGTGAGGGGGCGGAGCTACACACTGACTGTCCGAGGGGGCGGAGCTTCACACTGACTGTCCGAGGGGGCGGAGCTACACACTGACTGTCCGAGGGGGCGGAGCTACACACTGACTGCCTGAGGGGGTGGAGCTACAATAGCACTGATTGAGGGGGCAGAACAATTTTGAAAATGTTGTTCCATCAGCCGATTATTAAACCAGAAAAGTCAAATCTACAGATTCAAAACAAAATTATGATAATTGAAGACATTGTTCTCCATAAGATCATGCAGTACAGACATGCTTCATATAAAGAGACCAGAGAGAGAAAAAGACCAGAGAGAGAGACCAGAGAGACCCCAGAGAGAGACCAGAGAGAGACCAGAGAGAGAGACCAGAGAGAGAGACCAGAGAGAGAGACCAGAGAGAGACCAGAGAGAGACCAGAGAGAGACCAGAGAGAGACCAGAGAGAGTCCAGAGAGAGAAACCAGAGAGAGACCAGAGAGAGACCAGAGAGAAAACCTGAGAGAGAGACCAGAGAGAGAGACCAGAGAGAGACCAGAGAGAGTCCAGAGAGAAAACCTGAGAGAGAGACCAGAGAGAGAGACCAGAGAGAGACCAGAGAGAGACCACGCAAACACAGAACACAAAAGACTTGTGCTAAACTCAGTGAGCGGCACCCCGAAGTGTGTGTGTGTGTGTGTGTGTGTGTGCATGTAAATATGAGTGTGTGTGGGTGTGTAAATATGAGTGTGTGTGTGTGTGTGTGTGTATTTGTGTGTGTAAATGTGAGTGTGTGTGTATTTGTGCGTGTAAATATGAGTGTGTGTGTATTTGTGTGTGTAAATGTGAGTGTGTGTGTATTTGTGCGTGTAAATATGAGTGTGTGTGTGTGTGTAGGGGGCGTGCAGACAAACACACATCCTGGTGCTCTGGTGAAGTGAACATGATGCTAATGGTGACCTCCGACATCAGAGGGACTGTCCACAGTGCCCCCTGCTGGACACGGCTGCTATAGACACGCCTCCTATAGACACGCATCCTATAGACACGACTCCTATAGACACGACTCCTATAGACACGCCTCCTATAGACACGCCTCCTATAGACACGCCTCCTATAGACACGCCTCCTATAGACACGCCTCCTATAGACACAGCTCCTATAGACACAGCTCCTATAGACACGCCTCCTATAGACACGCCTCCTATAGACACGACTCCTATAGACACGACTCCTATAGACACGCCTCCTATAGACACGCCTCCTATAGACACGCCTCCTATAGACACGCCTCCTATAGACACAACTCCTATAGACACGCCTCCTATAGACACGCCTCCTATAGACACGCCTCCTATAGACACGCCTCCTGTAGACACAGCTCCTATAGACACGCCTCCTATAGACACAACTCCTATAGACACGGCTCCTATAGACACGGCTCCTATAGACACGACTCCTATAGACACGACCTCCTATAGACACGCCTCCTATAGACACAGCTCCTATAGACACGCCTCCTATAGACACAGCTCCTATAGACACGCCTCCTATAGACACGCCTCCTATAGACACGCCTCCTATAGACACGCCTCCTATAGACACAGCTCCTATAGACACGACTCCTATAGACACGACTCCTATAGACACGACTCCTATAGACACGACTCCTATAGACACGCCTCCTATAGACACGCCTCCTATAGACACAGCTCCTATAGACACGCCTTCTATAGACACGCCTCCTATAGACACGCCTCCTATAGACACAGCTCCTATAGACACGCCTCCTATAGACACGCCTCCTATAGACACGCCTCCTATAGACACGACTCCTATAGACACGACTCCTATAGACACGACTCCTATAGACACGCCTCCTATAGACACGCCTCCTATAGACACGCCTCCTATAGACACAGCTCCTATAGACACGACTCCTATAGACACGCCTCCTATAGACACGCCTCCTATAGACACGACTCCTATAGACACGCCTCCTATAGACACGCCTCCTATAGACACGCCTCCTATAGACACAGCTCCTATAGACACGCCTTCTATAGACACCCCTCCTATAGACACGCCTCCTATAGACACAGCTCCTATAGACACGCCTCCTATAGACACGCCTCCTATAGACACGACTCCTATAGACACGACTCCTATAGACACGACTCCTATAGACACGACTCCTATAGACACGCCTCCTATAGACACGCCTCCTATAGACACGCCTCCTATAGACACAGCTCCTATAGACACGACACGACTCCTATAGACACGCCTCCTATAGACACGCCTCCTATAGACACGCCTCCTATAGACACGCCTCCTATAGACACGCCTCCTATAGACACGCCTCCAATAGACACAGCTCCTATAGACACGCCTCCTATAGACACGCCTCCTATAGACACGACTCCTATAGACACGCCTCCTATAGACACGCCTCCTATAGACACAGCTCCTATAGACACGCCTCCTATAGACACGCCTCCTATAGACACGCCACCTATAGACACGCCTCCTATAGACACGCCTCCTATAGACACAGCTCCTATTGACCAGATGCATCAACGTCATCCAGTCACGTGATTGTGAATGAGCTTACGGCGGAAGTATTGGAAACTAGCATTGCTGCGAGAGCAAAACGGACACAACTCTTAAAAACGGAGCTTCCTCTCTTAAATCGAGAAGTGGCTGCTTCAAGCAATGTTCGATTACGTTATAGGTGGAAGTAGGACATCAGGTCAGGGCTCACAAAGAGTGGTATTTGGAGAAGTTAAGGATCGCCTAACTGGATGTTGACCCGTACCTTCTCCCCCCAGTCCATTTTATCGATTAAATAAAATGTCTATTTTTGCCCAAATTCACCCTACATGATCTTAATCATTATCGTTAAAAATGCATCCCCTCACACTGGAGCAGATTTATATCTACATGTTGCTGGTAGCATTAGCAATAGTCCACTTTTCTGTCTACAGCCAAACATGATACGTACTGACGCAGAGGAAAATAATGAAACACGCAATTGACTTAAAAGATAAAAATGTCAATGTTGCAGCGCACATACAGGACAGTAGTAAGAGACACGTTTGACGTGTGTCATTGTCCTCCAAATTAATGGAAATAAAATAAATACAAACTTGTGATTGCTTTATCTTGTAAAAAGTGTTCCCTGCATATTAGGGAGTACTTGGATGGGTCCCAGTCCTTTTGGTTGAGGCCATCGTCGTCTTCTGTCTTCATGACGAGCAGGTATCAGATAAAAAAGCTTATGTCCGTGCCTGTTAGTATAATCAACCGCACTGCAAAATGTCACAGTTTTGGCTGTAATGCGCTGAAACAGGTTGTTTTGGTCAGGTGTCCGTAGGCTCCAGTTAGACTTCTGCCGTCTGTCATGGAGAGTGGGCGTGGCCGGGACGTCACATGCAAGGGGTCAATAGACACGCCTCCTATAGACACGCCTCCTATAGGCACAGCTCTTATAGACACGCCTCCTATAGGCACGCCTCCTATAGACACGCCTCCTATAGGCACAGCTCTTATAGACACGCCTCCTATAGACACAGCTCCTATAGACACAGCTCCTATAGACACAGCTCCTGTAGACACGCCTCCTATAGACACGCCTCCTATAGACACGCCTCCTATAGACACGCCTCCTATAGGCACGCCTCCTATAGACACGGATCCTATAGACACGGATCCTATAGACACGCCTCCTATAGACACAACTCCTATAGACACGCCTCCTATAGACACAGCTCCTATAGACACGGCTCCTATAGACACGGCTCCTATAGACACAACTCCTATAGACACGCCTCCTATAGACACAGCTCCTATAGACATGCCTCCTATAGACACAACTCCTATAGACACAGCTCCTGTAGACACGCCTCCTATAGACACGCCTCCTATAGACACGCCTCCTATAGACACGGATCCTATAGACACGGATCCTATAGACACGCCTCCTATAGACACGCCTCCTATAGACACGACTCCTATAGACACGCCTCCTATAGACACGCCTCCTATAGACACGCCTCCTATAGACACGCTTCCTATAGACACGCCTCCTATAGACACGGATCCTATAGACACGACTCCTATAGACACGCCTCCAATAGACACGCCTCCTATAGACACGCCTCCTATAGACACGCTTCCTATAGACACGCCTCCTATAGACACGCCTCCTATAGACACGCCTCCTATAGACACGCTTCCTATAGACACAGATCCTATAGACACAACTCCTATAGACACGCCTCCTATAGACACGCCTCCTATAGGCATGCCTCCTATAGACACGCCTCCTATAGACATGCCTCCTATAGACTCAGCTTTCAAGTAAGTAAGTGAATAGTCATATTTATTTATATAGCGCCTCTCACAGACAGAGTCAAAGCGGTTTACAGCTGTTACATTAGTCTGTGACTCCACACAGAGATGGGAGGGGCCAGTGCAGGAGGCACAGACCTATTCTACATGTTTTTTAGTGGTAGGGGAAACCGGAGCACCCAGAGGAAACCTACGCAGACACAGGGAGAACATGCAAACTCCACTCAGAAAGGCCCTGTTCCGACCGGGATTCGAACTCAGGACCTTCTTGCTGAGGTGCGAGAGTGCTAACCACTCAGCCACCCGTAGAAGTGGTTGTTACACAAAAACTGTTTCTATATCAAGACTCTCCAGGGCGTAGTGTAGTGACCAGAAGCTCTCTGCTAGCTCTCAGAAGTCTCTGTCAGGGGTCAGAGGTCCCTGTCAGGGTCAGAGGTCAGGGTCAGAGATCAGGGGTCAGAGGTCAGGGTCAGAGGTCACTCACTCTGCGGTGCTGAAGGCCAGTTCAAAGTTGTGTCTTCGCTCTGACGGCTGCAGGGCGCTGTAGTCGAACGCCTCCGGGAAGAAGTGGTGAACGAGAGCACAGAACGCCATCCCACTGCTCCAGCTCGACGAGAAGTTCTGGATCTCCACATGCTGCAGGTGAGAGACCAGGTGAGAGATCAGGTGAGAGAGCAGGTGAGAGAGCAGGTGAGAGAGCAGGGGAGAGAGCAGGGGAGAGACCAGGCAAGAGACCAGGTGAGAGAGAGAGGGTGAGAGAGCAGGTGAGAGACCAGGTGAGAGAGCAGGTGAGAGAGCAGGTGAGAGAGCAGGTGAGAGAGCAGGTGAGAGAGCAGGGGAGAGAGCAGGGGAGAGAGCAGGGGAGAGACCAGGCAAGAGACCAGGTGAGAGAGAGAGGGTGAGAGAGCAGGTGAGAGACCAGGTGAGAGAGCAGGTGAGAGAGCAGGTGAGAGAGCAGGTGAGAGAGCAGGTGAGAGAGCAGGGGAGAGACCAGGCAAGAGACCAGGTGAGAGAGAGAGGGTGAGAGAGCAGGTGAGAGAGCAGGTGAGAGAGAGAGGGTGAGAGAGCAGGTGAGAGAGCAGGTGAGAGAGCAGGGGAGAGAGCAGGGGAGAGAGCAGGGGAGAGAGCAGGGGAGAGAGCAGGGGAGAGACCAGGCAAGAGAGCAGGTGAGAGAGCAGGTGAGAGAGAGAGGGTGAGAGAGCAGGTGAGAGACCAGGTGAGAGAGCAGGTGAGAGATCAGGTGAGAGATCAGGTGAGAGACCAGGTGAGAGACCAGGTGAGAGAGCAGGGGAGAGACCAGGTGAGAGATCAGGTGAGAGAGCAGGGGAGAGAGCAGGGAGAGACCAGGCAAGAGACCAGGTGAGAGAGCAGGTGAGAGATCAGGTGAGAGATCAGGTGAGAGATCAGGTGAGAGACCAGGTGAGAGACCAGGTGAGAGAGCAGGGGAGAGACCAGGTGAGAGATCAGGTGAGAGAGCAGGGGAGAGAGCAGGGAGAGACCAGGCAAGAGACCAGGTGAGAGAGCAGGGGAGAGACCAGGTGAGAGAGCAGGTGAGAGAGCAGGTGAGAGACCAGGTGAGAGACCAGGTGAGAGAGCAGGTGAGAGATCAGGTGAGAGACCAGGTGAGAGACCAGGTGAGAGAGCAGGGGAGAGAGCAGGGAGAGACCAGGCAAGAGACCAGGTGAGAGAGAGAAGGTGAGAGAGCAGGGGAGAGACCAGGTGAGAGAGCAGGGGAGAGAGAGAGGGTGAGAGAGCAGGGGAGAGAGCAGGTGAGAGAGCAGGTGAGAGAGCAGGTGAGAGAGCGAGGGTGAGAGACCAGGTGAGAGACCAGGTGAGAGAGAGAGGGTGAGAGAGCAGGTGAGAGACCAGGTGAGAGAGCAGATGAGAGACCAGGTGAGAGAACATGTTTGAGTCTGTGGCTCTAAAACCAATGGTTGAGAACAACTTCAATGATGGTTTTGTTGTGATGAATGTTGAACCCAGAGCAGAGAAACCAGGAGAGGCCTGGTACCCCCTGGTCTTGGCCTCACCTGGTACCCTCTGGTCTTTGCCCTGCACCAGTCCAGAAGCATCTGTTTTATGGTGTTGGCGTTGGGGACCCCAAAACTGGTGGACCTTTGGACCCTGTTGATCTTCACCACAGCTGGACCCCCGGAGCTGAAACCAGAAACAGAGACTAGAGTGAGACCAGAGAGGGACCAGAAAGAAACCAGAGAGAGACCAGAGAGGGACCCGAAAGAAACCAGAGAAAGACCAGAGAGGGACCAGAAAGAAACCAGAGAGAGACCAGAGAGAGACCAGAAAGAAACCAGAGAGAGACCAGAGAGAGATCAGAGAGGGACCAGAGAGAGAGACCAGAGAGAGAGAGACGAGAGAGAGACCAGAGAGAGAGACCAGAGAGAGAGACCAGAGAGAAAGACCAGAGAGAGAGACCAGAGAGAGAGACCAGAGAGAGAGACCAGAGAGAGAGACCAGAGAGAGAGACCAGAGAGAGACCAGAGAGAGACCAGAGAGAGAGACTAGAGAGAGACCAGAGAGAGACCAGAGAGAGACCAGAGAGAGACCAGAGAGAGACCAGAGAGAGACCAGAGAGAGACCAGAGAGAGAGAAAACCTTCAGACCTGTCCAGTCGCTCCATCAGAGCCTTTCGAGCCTGAAGAGAGGATGAGGTCATGGTCTGACTCCTCTGCACCTCCTTCTTCTTCTCTGCAGCAACAACACTGCTCCTGGACACACTGCTGTCCTCCCTCTCAAACACACTGCAACACGGACCAGGAGGAGCAGTGAGAGACCAGGAAGAGCAGTGAGAGACACCAAGAAGAGAAGTGAGGGACCAGGAGGAGGAGTGACGGACCAGGAGGAGCAGTGAGAGACACCAAGAAGAGCAGTGAGGGACCAGGAGGAGGAGTGACGGACCAGGAGGAGCAGTGAGAGACACCAAGAAGAGAAGTGGGGACCAGGAGGAGGAGTGACGGACCAGGAGGAGCAGTGAGAGACACCAAGAAGAGCAGTGAGGGACCAGGAGGAGGAGTGACGGACCAGGAGGAGCAGTGAGAGACACCAAGAAGAGCAGTGAGGGACCAGGAGGAGGAGTGAGGGACCAGGAAGAGCAGTGAGAGACACCAAGAAGAGCAGTGAGGGACCAGGAGGACGAGTGAGGGACCAGGAGGAGCAGTGAGGGACCAGAAAGAGCAGTGAGAGACACCAAGAAGAGCAGTGAGGTGGTCAGGTTGTAGTAAACATGTCTGTAGAGTCTGATAGACGATTAAACTGACCTCCCCACTTTGGTGTTGGAGGAGGTGGAGGAGGAGGTGGAGGAGGAGAAGCTGAAGGATTTGGACTGAACTGTTCCTCCTGAAACACAAACCACAGTTTCACATGATTGGTGTGATGTCACATTTACTTACACAGTCAGGGGAGGAGGAGTCAGAGGAGGAGGAGTCAGAGAGGATTCAAGGGAGAAGGGGTCAGAGGAGAGTCAGAGGAGGAGTCAGAGAGGAGTCAGAGAGGAGTCAGAGGAGAGTCGGAGGAGGAGTCAGAGAGGAGTCAGAGGAGAGTCAGAGAGGAGTCAGAGGAGGAGTCAGAGAGTAGTCAGAGGAGAGTCAGAGAGGAGTCAGAGGAGGAGTCAGAGAGGAGTCAGAGGAGAGTCGGAGGAGGAGTCAGAGAGGAGTCAGAGGAGAAGGAGTCAGAGGAGAGTCAGAGGAGGAGTCAGAGGAGGAGTCAGAGGAGGAGTCAGAGAGGAGTCAGAGGAGGAGTCAGAGAGGAGTCAGAGAGGAGTCAGAGGAGAGTCGGAGGAGGAGTCAGAGAGGAGTCAGAGGAGAAGGAGTCAGAGGAGAGTCAGAGAGGAGTCAGAGGAGGAGTCAGAGAGGAGTCAGAGGAGGAGTCAGAGAGGAGTCAGAGAGGAGTCAGAGGAGGAGTCAGAGAGGAGTCAGAGAGGAGTCAGAGGAGAGTCGGAGGAGGAGTCAGAGAGGAGTCAGAGGAGAGTCGGAGGAGGAGTCAGAGAGGAGTCAGAGGAGGAGTCAGAGAGGAGTCAGAGGAGAGTCGGAGGAGGAGTCAGAGAGGAGTCAGAGGAGAGTCGGAGGAGGAGTCAGAGAGGAGTCAGAGGAGAAGGAGTCAGAGGAGAGTCAGAGAGGAGTCAGAGGAGGAGTCAGAGGAGGAGTCAGAGGAGGAGTCAGAGGAGGTGTCAGAGGAGGAGGAGTCATTAAGAGTAGTAGTGAACATACCAGATAAAGTGGATTATAATCCAGTGGACTCTGACTCCTCCTCTGACTCCTCTCTGACTCCTCCTCTGGAGTCAGAGGAGGAGTCAGAGAGGAGTCAGAGAGGAGTCAGAGGAGGAGTCAGAGGAGGACCTACTGTCTGTCTTGTGGACGTAGCTGGTCACGGTGCTCAGAGTGGATCTACTTCCATCTGAAAGAAACAAAGGTTTTATTGTCAAATATCTCCACAAGGCACCTCCTCCTCACCTCCCTCTGACCTGCCTCTGACCTCCCCCTGACCTCCCCCTGACCTCCCTCTGACCTCCCCCTGACCTGCCTCTGACCTCCCTCTGACCTCCCTCTGACCTGCCTCTGACCTCCCCCTGACCTCCCTCTGACCTCCCTCTGACCTCCTCCCTCCCCTGACCTCCCTCTGACCTTCCTCTGACCTCCCCCTGACCTCCCTCTGACCTCCCTCTGACCTCCCCCTGACCTCCCCTCCCTGACCTCCCTCTGACCTCCCTCTGACCTCCCTCTGACCTCCCCTGACCTCCCTCTGACTTCCTTCTGACCTCCCTCTGACCTCCTTCTGACCTCCCTCTGACCTCCCTCTGACCTCCCTCTGACCTCCCTCTGACTTCCTTCTGACTTCCTTCTGACCTCCCTCTGACCTCCCCCTGACTTCCTTCTGACCTCCCTCTGACCTCCCTCTGACCTGCCTCTGACCTCCCTCTGACCTCCCCCTGACCTCCCCCTGACCTCCCTCTGACCTCCCTCTGACCTGCCTCTCAAGAGTAGTAGTGAACATACTTGATACAGTGGATTATAATCCAGTGGATTAGGAGTAGTAGTGAACATATCAGAGCTGCTCTCTGAGTGTGAGCATAGCCTTGATCTTTCAGCGGGGGTTTTTGGGCAAAGTGGGGTTAAGTGTCTTGCCCAAGGACACAACAACAGCAGTCATCAGTGGGAGTCGGTGGAGAAGGTGTAGAGGTGGGAAATGAACCCACGACCTTCTGGCCTGGATTATAATCCAGTGGATTAGGAGTAGTAGTGAACATATCAGATATAGTGGATTATAATCCAGTGGATTAGGAGTAGTAGTGAACATATCAGATATAGTGGATTATAATCCAGTGGATTAGGAGTAGTAGTGAACATATCAGATATAGTGGATTATAATCCAGTGGATTAGGAGTAGTAGTGAACATATCAGATATAGTGGATTATAATCCAGTGGATTAGGAGTAGTAGTGAACATATCAGATATAGTGGATTATAATCCAGTGGATTAGGAGTAGTAGTGAACATATCAGATATAGTGGATTATAATCCAGTGGATTAGGAGTAGTAGTGAACATATCAGATATAGTGGATTATAATCCAGTGGATTAGGAGTAGTAGTGAACATACCAGATATAGTGGATTATAATCCAGTGGATTAGGAGTAGTAGTGAACATACCAGATATAGTGGATTATAATCCAGTGGATTAGGAGTAGTAGTGAACATACCAGACTGTGAGAATGTGTTGGTCTTGGTGACTTGGCTCAGTGTGCTTCCATCAGCAGACTCCAGCTTCTTAATGACCACCTCCTCAGTCCCAGGTCTGGAGGCCGTCCTGTGGTCCCTGTGGTCCCTCTGGTCCCTTTGCTGGCGCTGCTCCTGCAGACGGACTTCCCGCTCCTTCTCCCTCTGGTCTAAACAGGAGCACAGGTACATCACAGTGTGACATCATAGAGTGACATCACAGTGGATGAAGTCACCTCTCTTCCTCTTCCTCAGGTCCCTCATCGCCGCTCGGATCATCCTCCGCTCCTCAAAGTCTTTAGACCCGTCGAGCTGCAGCAAAAGTGAAAATCAGAAACAGCGTCAACTTCACATCGAAGTTTGTTTTTTAGTAATAATGCATCAGTTTCAGTTTATATAGCGCTTTTTCAGATAATTATTCTCTCTCTCCAAACACAGGTGATAAACTACTACTGTAGCTACAGCTGCCCCGGGGCACACTGACAGAAGCCCCTCCCACCACCACCAACCATTCACACACACACCAGACTCATTCTAGGCAATGGGGGTAAAGTGTCTTGCCTAAGGACACAACCACAGCAGACGTCGATGATGAAAGTCGGGCTTGAACCCACGACCCTCTGGCTCAAAGGCCAACGCTCTACAACTGAGCTACTGTCGCCTTAGTATCAAGCACTTCATCACTTCAGCAAAGTTCGCCTCCTTGCCTCACCCCCGCCTCCCCCTGCCTCCCCCTGCCTCTCGCCTGCCTCCCCCCCGCCTCCCCCCGCCTCTCCCCTGCCTCTCCTCTGCCTCTCGCCTGCCTCTCCCCCGCCTCCCCCTGCCTCCCCCTGCCTCTCCCCTGCCTCTCCCCTGCCTCCCCCTGCCTCTCCCCTGCCTCCCCCTGCCTCCCCCTGCCTCTCCCCTGCCTCTCGCCTGCCTCTCGCGTGCCTCTCGCCTGCCTCTCGCCTGCCTCCCCCCGCCTCTCCCCTGCCTCCCCCTGCCTCTCCCCTGCCTCTCCCCTGCCTCTCACCTGCCTCTCGCCTGCCTCCCCCCGCCTCCCCCCTGCCTCTCCCCTGCCTCTCCCCTGCTCTCTCCCCCGCCTCCCCCCCCGGCCACCCCCGCCTCCCCCCGCCTCTCCCCTGCCTCCCCCCGCCTCTCCCCCCCCTCCCCCCCCGCCTCCCCCCCCGCCTCTCCCCTGCCTCTCGCCTGCCTCTCGCTTGCCTCCCCCTCCCCCGCCTCCCCCCCGCCTCTCCCCCGCCTCCCCCCCCCCTCCCCCCCGCCTCTCCCCCCCCCTCTACCCCGCCTCCACCCCCCGCCTCTCCCCCCGCCTCTCGCCCGCCTCTCGCCCGCCTCCCCCCCCCCCCCCCCGCCTCCCCCCCGCCCTCCCCCCCTCCCTCCTCGCCCCCCCTCTGCCCCCTGCCTCTCGCTTGCCTCCCCCCTGCCTCCCCCCTGCCTCTCCCCCGCCTCTCCCCCGCCTCCCCCCCGCCTCTCCCCCCCGCCTCCCGCCCGCCTCCCGCCCCCCTCTCGCCCGCCTCTCGCCCGCCTCTCGCCCCCCCTCTCGCCCGCCTCTCCCCTGCCTCTCGCCCTTGCCTCCCCCCCTGCCTCTCGCCCGCCTCTCCCCTGCCTCTCCCCTGCCTCTCCCCTGCCTCTCGCTTGCCTCCCCCCCTGCCTCTCCCCCGCCTCCCCCCCCGCCTCTCGCCCGCCTCTCGCCCGCCTCCCCCCCCCCCCCCCCCCCGCCTCCCGCCCGCCTCCCGCCCGCCTCCCCCCCCCGCCTCTCGCCCGCCTCTCGCCCGCCTCTCGCCCGCCTCTCGCCCGCCTCTCGCCCGCCTCTCGCCCCCCCCCCCTCTCGCCCGCCTCTCGCTTGCCTCCCCCCTGCCTCCCCCCCGCCTCTCCCCCGCCTCCCCCCCCCGCCTCTCCCCCGCCTCTCCCCCGCCTCCCCCCCGCCTCTCCCCCGCCTCTCCCCCGCCTCCACCCCCGCCTCTCCCCCCCGCCTCCACCCCCGCCTCTCCCCCCGCCTCTCGCCCGCCTCCCGCCCGCCTCTCGCCCGCCTCCCCCCCGCCTCCCGCCCGCCTCCCCCCCGCCTCCCGCCCGCCTCTCGGCCGCCTCTCGCCCGCCTCTCCCCTGCCTCTCGCTTGCCTCCCCCCTGCCTCTCGCCTGCCTCTCGCCTGCCTCTCCCCTGCCTCTCCCCTGCCTCTCGCCCGCCTCTCGCCCGCCTCTCGCCCGCCTCTCGCCCGCCTCTCCCTGCCTCTCGCCCGCCTCTCGCCCGCCTCTCCCCTGCCTCTCGCGTGCCTCTCGCCTGCCTCTCGCCCGCCTCTCCCCTGCCTCTCGCCCGCCTCCCCCCTGCCTCCCCCTGCCTCTCCCCCGCCTCCCCCCCCGCCTCCCCCTGCCTCTCGCCTGCCTCTCGCCTGCCTCTCGCCTGCCTCTCGCCCTGCCTCTCGCCTGCCTCTCGCCTGCCTCTCGCCCGCCTCTCGCCCCCCTCTCCCCTGCCTCTCGCGTGCCTCTCGCCTGCCTCTCGCCCGCCTCTCCCCTGCCTCTCGCCCGCCTCTCCCCTGCCTCTCGCCCGCCTCCCCCCTGCCTCTCCCCCTGCCTCTCCCCCGCCTCCCCCTGCCTCTCGCCTGCCTCCCCCCTGCCTCTCCCCTTGTCTCCCCCCCACCTCCCCCCCGCCTCCCCCCCGCCTCCCCCCTGTGCGTCTCTGACCATCTGGTCCAGTGTCTCCTCGTTGTCGATCGCAGCCAGAAACTCGGGGGTCACTTTGCTCGAGCACTCCTCAGCATTGGGAAGACCCCCATTGGACAGGTCTGTGGCCCCTCCCACTGAGGGAGGGGCCAAGACCAGCTGTGAGGGAGGAGCCAAGACCAGCTGTGAGGGAGGGGCCAAGACCAGCTGTGAGGGAGGAGCCAAGACCAGCTGTGAGGGAGACTCACTCTCCATCTGCAAACAGAAAACACAACAAGATATGTGTGAGTCTGTGTGTGTGTGTCTGTGTTTATGTATATGTGCGTGTCGGTGTGTCTGTGTGTGTGTCTGTGTGGTCAGAGGTGTAGGATCAGAGGTGTAGGGTCAGAGGTCAGAGGTGTAGGGTCAGAGGTGTAGGTCAGAGGTCAGAGGTGTAGGTCAGAGGTCAGAGGTGTAGGGTCAGAGGTGTAGGTCAGAGGTGTAGGATCAGAGGTGTAGGGTCAGAGCTCAGAGGTGTAAGGTCAGAAGTGTAGGATCAGAGGTGTAGGATCAGAGATCAGAGGTGTAGGGTCAGAGGTGTAGGGTCAGAGCTCAGAGGTGTAAGGTCAGAAGTGTAGGATCAGAGGTGTAGGGTCAGAGGTCAAAGGTGTAGGATCAGAGGTGTAGGTCAGAGGTGTGGAGTCAGAGGTCAGAGGTGTAGGGTCAGAGGTCAGAGGTGTGGGGTCAGAGGTCAGAGGTGTAGGATCAGAGGTGTAGGTCAGAGGTGTGGGGTCAGAGGTCAGAGGTGTAGGGTCAGAGGTGTAGGTCAGAGGTCAGAGGTGTAGGGTCAGAGGTGTAGGTCAGAGGTGTAGGGTCAGAGGTGTAGGGTCAGAGGTGTAGGATCAGAGGTGTAGGTCAGAGGTCAGAGGTGTAGGATCAGAGGTGTAGGTCAGAGGTGTAGGTCAGAGGTGTAGGTCAGAGGTCAGAGATGTAGGTCAAAGGTGTAGGATCAGAGGTGTAGAGTCAGAGGTCAGAGGTGTAGGTCAGAGGTCAGAGGTGTAGGGTCAGAGGTGTAAGATCAGAGGTGTAGGATCAGAGGTCAGAGATGTAGGGTCAGAGGTGTAGGTCAGAGGTCAGAGGTGTAGGTCAGAGGTCAGAGATGTAGGGTCAGAGGTGTAGGTCAGAGGTCAGAGGTATAGGGTCAGAGGTGTAGGTCAGAGGTGTAGAGTCAGAGGTCAGAGGTGTAGGTCAGAGGTCAGAGGTGTAGGGTCAGAGGTGTAGGTCAGAGGTGTAAGATCAGAAGTCAGAGGTGTAGGTCAGAGGTCAGAGGTATAGGGTCAGAGGTAGAGGTCAGAGGTGTAGGTCAGAGGTGTAAGATCAGAAGTCAGAGGTGTAGGGTCAGAGGTGTAGGTCAGAGGTCAGAGGTATAGGGTCAGAGGTCAGTGGTGTAGGATCAGAGGTGTAGAGTCAGAGGTCAGAGGTGTAGGGTCAGAGGTCAGTGGTGTAGGATCAGAGGTGTAGAGTCAGAGGTCAGAGGTGTAGGGTCAGAGGTGTAAGGTCAAAGGTCAGAGCAATGCTAAAAATATGTAAATCCAGTTGAATGACTTTTTACTGTAGCCCTGAGAGAAGCTGATCCTGTCAGACCTGGATCCAAGTCCAGATCCAGGTCCACGTCCAGGTCCAGGTCCAGGTCCAGGTCCAGGTCCAGATCCAGGTCCAGGTCTCTGCTCTTTACGTCAGACTCATAAAAGTGCAGTGTTTCTGCTGCTGTCAATCACCTGCTGTTTATGAGGGTCACACAGAGGACCATCACCCAACATGGAGAGGAGGGGGAGGAGGAGAGGGGGGAGGGAGGGGGAGAGGGAGGAGAGGAGAGGACCATCACCCAACATGGAGAGGAGAGGGAGGAGGAGAGGGGGGAGGAGGGGGAGAGGGAGGAGAGGAGAGGACCATCACCCAACATGGAGAGGAGGGGGAGGAGGAGAGGGGGGGAGGAGGGGGAGAGGGAGGAGAGGAGAGGACCATCACCCAACATGGAGAGGAGAGGGGGGAGGAGAGGGGAGAGGGGAGGAGGAGGAGAGGACCATCACCCAACATGGAGAGGAGAGGGAGGAGGAGAGGGGGGAGGAGGGGGAGAGGGAGGAGAGGAGAGGACCATCACCCAACATGGAGAGGAGGGGGAGGAGGAGAGGGGGGAGGAGGGGGAGAGAGAGGAGAGGACCATCACCCAACATGGAGAGGAGAGGGAGGAGGAGAGGGGGGAGGAGGGGGAGAGGGAGGAGAGGAGAGGACCATCACCCAACATGGAGAGGAGGGGGAGGAGAGAGAGGGGAAGAGGGGAGAGAGGGGAAGAGGAGAGAGATAACCCAAGAGAGGAGGAGGAGAAGGAGGCGAGAGGAGGAGGAGAAATAAGTAAGCAAATAAATACACAGTGCCTTTCACAGACCAGTCACAAACAGCTTTACAATTGTGGGAATTTGTCTTTCACTCCACACTCCAGAAAGAGAAGGAGGAGGAGGAAGAAGAGGAGGCAGAGAAGGAGGAGGAGGAAGAAGAGGAGGCAGAGAAGGAGGAGGAGGAAGAAGAGGAGGCAGAGAAGGAGGAGGAGGAAGGAGAAGGAGGAGAAGGAGGAGGAGGAGGAGGAGAAGGAGGAGGAGGAGGAGGAGAAGGAGGAGGCAGAGGAGGAGGAGGCAGAGAAGGAGAAGGAGGAGAAGGAGGAGGAGGAGGAGGAGAAGGAGGAGGCAGAGGAGGAGGAGGCAGAGAAGGAGAAGGAGGAGAAGGAGGAGAAGGAGGAGGCAGAGGAGGAGGAGGCAGAGAAGGAGAAGGAGGAGAAGGAGGAGAAGGAGGAGGCAGAGGAGGAGGAGGCAGAGAAGGAGAAGGAGGAGAAGGAATGCTGTGGCTCTCGGTGAATACCGTACAAGGACAGAGTAAAGAGGCTCCTGCTCTGTGTCTGTTTGGATCTGGACTGGATCTGATCCTGGACCAGTCTGATCCTGGACTAGTCTGGTCACACACCAGAGGAGACACCAGCTGTGTTCTTACCATGACTGAAGGAGCAGTGAGAGTCGAGCTGATCCTGAACGGTGAAGCTTTCAGACCCAGAGTCAGCTCTAGCAGATATGGACACACAATCTGTGTTACAACTACACAATATACTGCACACACACACAGACAGAGACGCAAAGAGACGGACACACTCACACACACAGAGAGACAGAGACATACACACACAGAGACAGAAATACACACAGACACACAGACACACAGACACACACACACACACACACGCATACACTCACACAGAGACACACAGAGACACACACACACAGAAACACACACAGTGGGAGGTCTCCCATCTCTCACTGACACCATGTTCCCCACAGACTAATGCACCAGATGTAAACACGTCTCCTCTGCCCCATAACAAATGACCACATGCTAATGCTAATGCTAACGCTGACGCTGTACAAAAGCAACATGGCCGACACCTGACCAAAAAAGGAGCTCTCTGAGGAGTGATGGAGAAGCCCTGTGAGGAGGAGGAGGACACTACAGTGGTCGTAACCTTTGACCTCTGGGACATAGTCACGCCCGCCGTGACGTTCTAGTGTAGGCAGGGGGCGATGAGGAGCTATGTTGGATAGAAACAAGAAAAGCAGCCGTAGCGTGCAAACCTCTGCCGAAAGGCACAGTTTTATTTGGTTTGAATAAATCCTCTGGACGTGATTTCCCTTCAATGGGCAGACTCTGAGGGAGCAGCGTCTGCAGTCAGAGCTCCCCTCCCTCATGGTCATGAGCTTTGGGTAATGACAGAAAGGACGAGGTCGCGGATACAAGCGTCACATGAGCTTCCTCCACAGAGTAGAGCCGCTGCTCCCTTAAAGATAGAGGAGCTCTGTCACATGGGAGGAGCTCGGAGTAGAGCTGCTGCTCCCTTAGAGGTAGAGGAGCTCAGTCACACAGGAGGAGCTCTGAGTAGAGACGTTGCTCCCTTAGAGATAGAGGAGCTCACTCAAAGGAGGAGCTCGGAGTAGAGCCGTTGCTTCTTCACGTCAAGAGGAACCAGTTGAGGTGGTTCATCTGGTGTGGACGCTTCCGAGGGAGGTCCCACAGGAGGAGACCAGGAGGAGACCCAGGTAACAGAGGGACCGTGTCTGGCCTGAGGATTCCCCCAGATGAGCTGGGGGTGTGTGTCTCTCCCAGTGGGGGCGGGTCCCAGCTCAAAAGTGGCCAAAATGACATGCGCTGACATGCTGCAGTACCACCCCGGGCCTGTGGGGGTGGACCCTGACATGCTGCAGTACCACCCCGGGCCTGTGGGGGTGGACCCTGACATGCTGCAATACCACCCCGGGCCTGTGGGGGTGGACCCAGAATAAGAATTAGCCAATGCTAACATATAGCATTGGCAGACCTCTCAAAAACGTCTTTACAGGATGGTCCAAAAGTGGCTCTTGGCCCAAAGCTCCGTTCCACATGTGTGTCAATGCTGAGTGTTCTGGACCAGTCTAGTTTAGTCGCTGTGGACTTTAGAAGTCTCTCGTTCAAATGAATGGAGCTGCTCCGGCTGACGCATGCGCAGATGTGTTTTTTCACAATTTTCTTGTGGGCGGGACCACTCGCGGCCATTTTGGATAGCTCCAGTAGAGCACATTTTTTGGCCAATTAGTTAGAACGGCGGAGATAGGCGTGACTCTGTCCGTTAATATATACAGTCTATGGTCTCTCCTCAGACTGCTGCAACCCGGCAACGGATGAAGCGAAAGAAAATGGATGGATGGGCAAACTCTGAGCAGACAGACACTGATGATCGCTGCACCTCCTGTTTCTGAGTCTTTCAGAGTCTGTAGTTTGGCCTTTGTGCTCTACAGCGCCCCCTCTGTTGGCTCAGGGCCAGAGACATAGATCAATGGTACAATTCAACGGTACTGTGTAATGGTACCGTTTAATGGTACAGATCAATGGTACAGATCAATGGTACCGTTCAATGGTACAGATCAATGGTACAGATCAATGGTACCGTTCAATGGTACAGATCAATGGTACCGTTCAATGGTACCGTTCAATGGTACAGATCAATGGTACCGTTCAATGGTACCGTTCAATGGTACAGATCAATGGTACAGATCAATGGTACAGATCAATGGTACAGATCAATGGTACCGTTCAATGGTACCGTTCAATGGTACAGATCAATGGTACAGATCAATGGTACCGTTCAATGGTACAGATCAATGGTACCGTTCAATGGTACAGATCAATGGTACAGATCAATGGTACCGTTCAATGGTACCGCTCTAACCATAAACAGCTGTGACATGGTTCTACTTTTAAACAATAAGAATGTTTACATTACCATAAAAATTACCATAAACATGTCCCATTACAGACCTGCTCTGTGGCTGCTGTGGAGGCGGGGGCCCTCAGGGTTCCTGGGGGGCCCCTGAGCAGTGGAGCGGTTCTCTTTGATCTCAATGGTGAGGAACGTCTTCATGTCTGCGTCGCACTGAGCTGCTGAGCTCCCAGGGGCCTGTCCTCCTGCTCTGTGAGCCCCGCCCCCAGCCCCGCCCCCTGAGACCTGCCATTGGTCCTCAGACAGAGACCTGCCATTGGTCCTCAGACAGAGACCTCCCATTGGTCCTCAGACAGAGACCTCCCATTGGTCCTCAGACAGAGACTTCCCATTGGTCCTCAGACAGAGACCTCCCATTGGTCCTCAGACAGAGACTTCCCATTGGTCCTCAGACAGAGACCTCTCATTGGTCCTCAGATAGAGACCTCCCATTGGTCCTCAGAGAGAGACCTCCCATTGGTCTTCAAAGACCTCCCATTGGTCCTCGGACAGAGACCTCCCATTGGTCCTCAAAGACCTCCCATTGGTCCTCAGACAGAGACCTGTCAGGTCACAGAGACAAACACAGAGACATGGAGAGACACACACACACACAGATACACACACACACACACACACACACACAGACACACACACACACAGATACAGACACACACAGATACACACACACACACACACACACACACACACACACACACACACACATACACACAGATACACACACACACACACACACACACACACACACACACACACACAGATACAGACACACACATACACACAGATACAGACACACACACACACAGACACATACACACAGATACAGACACACTCACACACGTACACACAGATACACACACACACACACACACACACACAGATACAGAGACACACAGACACACACACAGATACAGACACACACACACACAGATACAGACACACACACACACACACACACACACACATACACAGACACACTCACACACATACACACAGATACATACACACACACACACACACACACATACACACAGATACAGACACACACACACACACACACACACACACACACATACACAGACACACTCACACACATACACACAGATACATACACACACACACACACACACACACATACACACAGATACAGACACACTCACACACATACACACAGATACAGACACACTCACACACGTACACACAGATACACACACACACACACACATACACACAGATACAGACACACACACAGACATACACACACAGACACACAGAGAGAGATACAGACACACACACACCTGTATCTTTGTGCTTCCTGCTGCTCAGAGAATTGTTGACAGTGATCTGAAACAAAAAGAAGATTTACTGTAGGGAGACAGAGAGACAGAGAGACAGAGAGACAGAAAGACAGAGAGACAGAGAGACAGAGAGACAGAGAGACAGAGAGACAGAGAGACAGAGAGACAGAGAGACAGAGAGACAGAGAGACAGAAAGACAGAGAGACAGAGAGACAGAGAGACAGAGAGACAGAAAGACAGAGAGACAGAGAGACAGAGAGACAGAAAGACAGAGAGACAGAGAGACAGAGAGACAGAGAGACAGAAAGACAGACAGAGAGACAGAGAGACAGAAAGACAGAAAGACAGAGAGACAGAGAGACAGAGAGACAGAGAGACAGAGAGACAGAGAGACAGAGAGACAGAAAGACAGAAAGACAGAGAGACAGAGAGACAGAGAGACAGAGAGACAGAGACAGAGACAGAGAGACACAGAGACACAGAGACACAGAGACAGAGACAGGTTCTAACAGTCAGATCAGTATCTATCTGTGGAGAATGGAGACACAGACACACACAGAAGTCCGTTTTTACCATTTTTATCACCCTGCACTGAAAGGGTGATAACCCCTGTCTCCCTCCTCTGCAGTCTCACTCCTGTCTTCCCCCTCCCTCCCCCCTGTCTCCCTCCTCTGCTGTCTCACATCTGTCTCCCCCTTCCTCCCCCCTTCCTCCCTCCTCTGCTGTCTCACTCCTGTCTCCCCCTTCCTCCCCCCTTCCTCCCCCCTTCCTCCCCCCTTCCTCCCCCTCAGCAGTGGCATCTGTAGCACCTCCCCTCTCCAGCAGAGGGAGCCAGTGTCTCTCTTTTCTCTGATGCAGATGAATAAATGTGAAATAACTTTACCTTCTGGTCCAAGCGGCCCCTGACACTGTCCTTTGTGGAGATCATGGCCCCGTCAGTCTGGTCCTGCAGAGCGGGGGCCCTGCTCTCTCCCTCAGAGTCTGTGGGGCCCTTCCCATCGGAGCACACACTGGCACAAGGCTCGAGGGCCCCTGAGGGGAGGGCCTCCTGGTTCAGGTCTGAGGCCCCTGAGGGGAGGGCCTCCTGGTTCAGGTCCGAGGCCCCTGAGGGGAGGGCCTCCTGGTTCAGGTGTGAGGCTCCTGAGGGGAGGGCCTCCTGTTTCAGGTCTGAGGCCCCTGAGGGGAGGGCCTCCTGGTTCAGGTGTGAGGCTCCTGAGGGGAGGGCCTCCTGGTTCAGGTCTGAGGCCCCTGAGGGGAGGGCCTCTCTTGAACCCTGGATGAGCAGAGGCAGGGGCCCCTCATCTTTCAGCTGGGGGCCAATCACCAGCATCATGCCCGGGCAGGAGCCTGGAAACACAGACGTGATTAGGAGTCGACAAGCAGCAGTAGAGCACAGACCACCACCAGGAGGCGCAGCTGCTCTGGGACCAGGGAATAACATTTCTCTGGGGGTTCTCTGCCAGGTTCTCTGTCAGGTTCTCTGCCAGGTTCTCTGTCAGGTTCTCTGCCAGGTTCTCTGTCAGGTTCTCTGTCAGGTTTTCCGTCAGGTTTTCCGTCAGGTTCTCCGTCAGGTTCTCCGTCAGGTTCTCCGTCAGGTTCTCCGTCAGGTTCTCCGTCAGGTTCTCCGTCAGGTTCTCCGTCAGGTTCTCCGTCAGGTTCTCCGTCAGGTTTTCTGTCAGGTTCTCTGTCAGGTTCTCTGTCAGGTTCTCTGTCAGGTTCTCCGTCAGGTTCTCCGTCAGGTTCTCCGTCAGGTTCTCCGTCAGGTTCTCCGTCAGGTTCTCCGTCAGGTTCTCCGTCAGGTTCTCCGTCAGGTTCTCCGTCAGGTTCTCCGTCAGGTTCTCCGTCAGGTTTTCTGTCAGGTTCTCTGTCAGGTTCTCTGTCAGGTTCTCTGTCAGGTTCTCTGTCAGGTTCTCCGTCAGGTTCTCCGTCAGGTTCTCCGTCAGGTTCTCCGTCAGGTTCTCCGTCAGGTTCTCCGTCAGGTTCACCGTCAGGTTCTCTGTCAGGTTCTCTGTCAGGTTCTCTGTCAGGTTTTCTGTCAGGTTCTCTGTCAGGTTCTCGTTGTACAGGCTGATAATGTCATCGCTCTTACTGCCTTTTTTAACAATATGAAGATTGGTTTATTGTTAGTTTTAGAAGTGTTGTCTGGATACAGTATGTGATACAGGGCATTACTAATGAGTTATAAAAGATAATAGACTCTTTTTATGTACGATGTATCTGTATTTATAGATTGTTGCTTTTACTTTGGACAGTTTATTCCTAATATTGTTCATGTGTGATTTCCAACTGAGCCCATGGTCTTAGTCACTCCCAGAACTGTTCTCAGACTCGCTCCAGGGGAGTGATATTTACTTTTCCCAATATTTAGTGATCATTTGTTGTTGTCAAACCAGATTTTAATTTTATGCAATTCCGCCTCCACCAATTGTATGATCTGATTTATGAGGAGAGTATTATCTGCAAACACGACATGATCCAGTGCTTTTGAAACTGGAACTAAATCATTCATGTAAATAATAACATGTTTTGGTCCAAGCGTTGATCCCTGCGGGACGCCACGGGTCACGTTTAACACTTCTGAGCTTCTATTTCCTTTCTCAACATATTGGTATCGGTTTTGTAGATACTTTGTATCCATGAATGTGAGAGTCTAGATTCTGCTGTAGAATATTGTGACCTATAGAATATTGTGACCTATAGAATATTGTGACCTATAGAATATTGTGACCTATAGAATATTGTGATCTATAGAATATTGTGAATATTGTGATCTATAGAATATTGTGATCTATAGAATATTGTGACCTATAGAATATTGTGACCTATAGAATATTGTGACCTATAGAATATTGTGATCTATAGAATATTGTGAATATTGTGACCTATAGAATATTGTGATCTATAGAATATTGTGAATATTGTGATCTATAGAATATTGTGACCTATAGAATATTGTGAATATTGTGATCTATAGAATACTATGATCTATAGAATATTGTGATCTATAGAATATTGTGATCTTTAGAATATTGTGAATATTGTGATCTATAGAATATTGTGACCTATAGAATATTGTGATCTATAGAATATTGTGATCTATAGAATATTGTGATCTATAGAATATTGTGAATATTGTGATCTATAGAATATTGTGATCTATAGAATATTGTGATCTATAGAATATTGTGAATATTGTGATCTATAGAATATTGTGATCTATAGAATATTGTGATCTATAGAATATTGTGAATATTGTGATCTATAGAATACTATGATCTATAGAATATTGTGATCTATAGAATATTGTGATCTTTAGAATATTGTGAATATTGTGATCTATAGAATATTGTGAATATTGTGACCTATAGAATATTGTGATCTATAGAATATTGTGATCTATAGAATATTGTGAATATTGTGATCTATAGAATATTGTGACCTATAGAATATTGTGATCTATAGAATATTGTGATCTATAGAATATTGTGAATATTGTGATCTATAGAATATTGTGACCTATAGAATATTGTGACCTATAGAATATTGTGATCTATAGAATATTGTGATCTATAGAATATTGTGAATATTGTGATCTATAGAATATTGTGACCTATAGAATATTGTGATCTATAGAATATTGTGATCTATAGAATATTGTGATCTATAGAATATTGTGAATATTGTGATCTATAGAATATTGTGACCTATAGAATATTGTGATCTATAGAATATTGTGATCTATAGAATATTGTGACCTATAGAATATTGTGATCTATAGAAGATTGTGATCTATAGAATATTGTGATCTATAGAATATTGTGATGTATAGAATCCAAAGCTTTCTTAAGGCCAATGAAGACACCTACACTGTATTTCTTTGAATCTACTGATATTGATATATATTTCTACCAGTTCCATGGCGGCCATTGGGGTGGAGTGGTTTTTCCTAAAACCATAGTGATGGTCGCTTAAGAAATTATATTTGTCTAAGAATGTATCTATTTTCTATTACCTTTGAAAACAGAGAAAGAAGTGAACTTGGTCTATAATTGTAGAATATCTATGAACTAAACTATCACCTGATTGTGAAGAAAGATCGCTGCTCCATCTGTTGAGTCTGGGATATACCCATTTGGAATGATTCATCACATATGTGGGTCAGCGCAGAGAGAGACCAGAGGGAGACCAGAGAGAGACCAGAGGGAGACCAGAGAGAGACCAGAGAGAGACCAGAGGGAGACCAGAGGGAGACCAGAGGGAGACCAGAGAGAGACCAGAGAGAGACCAGAGGGAGACCAGAGGGAGACCAGAGGGAGACCAGAGAGAGACCAGAGAGAGACCAGAGAGAGACCAGAGAGAGACCAGAGAGAGACCAGAGAGAGACCAGAGAGAGAGACCAGAGAGAGACCAGAGAGAGACCAGAGGGAGACCAGAGGGAGACCAGAGAGAGACCAGAGAGACACCAGACAGAGACTAGAGAGAGACCATAGAGAGAGACCAGAGGGAGACCAGAGGGAGACCAGAGAGAGACCAGAGAGAGACCAGAGGGAGACCAGAGGGAGACCAGAGAGAGACCAGAGAGACACCAGACAGAGACTAGAGAGAGACCATAGAGAGAGACCAGAGGGAGACCAGAGGGAGACCAGAGAGAGACCAGAGAGAGACCAGAGGGAGACCAGAGGGAGACCAGAGGGAGACCAGAGGGAGACCAGAGGGAGACCAGAGGGAGACCAGAGGGAGACCAGAGGGAGACCAGAGGGAGACCAGAGAGAGACCAGAGAGAGACCAGAGAGAGACCAGAGAGAGACCAGAGGGAGACCAGAGGGAGACCAGAGAGAGACCAGAGAGAGACCAGAGAGAGACCAGAGAGAGACCAGAGAGAGAGACCAGAGAGAGACCAGAGGGAGACCAGAGAGAGACCAGAGGGAGACCAGAGGGAGACCAGAGGGAGACCAGAGGGAGACCAGAGGGAGACCAGAGGGAGACCAGAGAGAGACCAGAGAGAGACCAGAGAGAGACCAGAGAGAGACCAGAGAGAGACCAGAGAGAGACCAGAGAGAGAGACCAGAGAGAGACCAGAGGGAGACCAGAGAGAGACCAGAGAGAGAGACCAGAGAGAGACCAGAGAGAGACCAGAGAGAGACCAGAGAGAGAGACCAGAGAGAGACCAGAGAGAGAGACCAGAGAGAGACCAGAGAGAGACCAGAGAGAGAGACCAGAGAGAGAGACCAGAGAGAGACCAGAGGGAGACCAGAGAGAGACCAGAGAGAGAGACCAGAGAGAGACCAGAGAGAGACCAGAGAGAGACCAGAGAGAGAGACCAGAGAGAGACCAGAGAGAGAGACCAGAGAGACACCAGACAGAGACCAGAGAGAGACCAGAGAGACTAGAGAGAGACCATAGAGAGAGACCAGAGGGAGACCAGAGGGAATGTTATTTGTGTAAACCTATGACCTGTGGCCTCTCTCCCTCTGAACACTTCTCTTTTATCTTAAAGTTTCCTGCACAAACACGACAGGACTGAAGGCTCTATTCAGAGCTCTCATTAGCAAACACAGCACAGGGATTTAATAAAGTGTGACACCACCACACTCTACTACATTTAAGGTCCCTCCCTATGGTCCAATACCATGTGGTCTCTCCCTATGGTCCAATACCATGTGGTCTCTCCCTATGGTCCAATACCATGTGGTCTCTCCCTATGGTCCAATACCATGTGGTCTCTCCCTATGGTCCAATACCATGTGGTCTCTCCCTATGGTCCAATACCATGTGGTCTCTCCCTATGGCCCAATACCATGTGGTCTCTCCCTATGGTCCAATACCATGTGGTCTCTCCCTATGGTCCAATACCATGTGGTCTCTCTCCATGGTCCAATACCATGTAACTTTCCCTAGACCCACTAGCTCGCCGGTGAACCGTTAGCTCGCCGGTGAACCGTTAGCTCGCCGGTGAACCGTTAGCTCGCCGGTGAACCGTTAGCTCGCCGGTGAACCGTTAGTAAGTAAGTAAGTAAGTAAGTAAGTTTTTATTTATATACCGCCTTTTCACTGCAGATCTGAGTCTCAAAGCGGTTTACAATTGTTAATTTTTGGGCATTTGTCTCTCACTCCACACAGAGATGGGAGCGGGGTCAGTACAGGAGGCGCATGCCAGAACTATTGGACATATTTTTAGTGGTAGGGGAAACCGGAGTACCCGGAGGAAACCTACGCAGACACAGGGAGAACATGCAAACTCCACTCAGAAAGGCCCTGGTCCGACCGGGATTCGAACCCAGGACCTTCTTGCTGAGAGGCGAGAGTGCTATCCACTCAGCCACCGTGCCGCTAGCTCACCGATGTATGGGATGCGTCTCTGGGCAGTACCTGTTTTGTACGAGTCAGGTCTGTGCGGTGTCGAGGTGCTCTGCGGCTCCTGAGAAACACAAAGACACACATTTAACGTCCACAGCAACACACACAGAGACACACACACACACACACAGAGACACACACACACCTGCTTTAGACCTGCTTTAGACTGGACCGGACCAAAGAAGTTCAAAAACAGGTCTAAAGCAGGTCTAAAGCAGGACTAAAGCAGGTCTAAAACAGGTCTAAAGCAGGACTAAAGCAGGTCTAAAGCAGGACTAAAGCAGGTCTAAAGCAGGTCTAAAGCAGGACTAAAACAGGTCTAAAGCAGGTCTAAAGCAGGTCTAAAGCAGGTCTAAAGCAGGATTAAAGCAGGACTAAAGCAGGACTAAAGCAGGTCTAAAACAGGTCTAAAGCAGGTCTAAAACAGGTCTAAAGCAGGTCTAAAGCAGGACTAAAGCAGGACTAAAGCAGGACTAAAGCAGGTCTAAAGCAGGTCTAAAGCAGGACTAAAACAGGTCTAAAGCAGGTCTAAAGCAGGATTAAAGCAGGACTAAAGCAGGTCTAAAACAGGTCTAAAGCAGGTCTAAAGCAGGTCTAAAGCAGGACTAAAACAGGTCTAAAGCAGGTCTAAAGCAGGTCTAAAGCAGGTCTAAAGCAGGATTAAAGCAGGACTAAAGCAGGACTAAAGCAGGTCTAAAACAGGTCTAAAGCAGGTCTAAAGCAGGTCTAAAGCAGGATAAAGCAGGACTAAAGCAGGACTAAAGCAGGTCTAAAACAGGTCTAAAGCAGGTCTAAAAGGTCTAAAGCAGGTCTAAAGCAGGATTAAAGCAGGACTAAAGCAGGTCCTAAAGCAGGTCTAAAGCAGGACTAAAGCAGGACTAAAGCAGGACTAAAGCAGGTCTAAAGCAGGACTAAAGCAGGTCTAAAGCAGGTCTAAAGCAGGTCTAAAGCAGGTCTAAAGCAGGACTAAAGCAGGTCTAAAGCAGGACTAAAGCAGGTCTAAAGCAGGTCTAAAGCAGGACTAAAGCAGGTCTAAAGCAGGACTAAAGCAGGACTAAAGCAGGTCTAAAGCAGGTCTAAAGCAGGTCTAAAGCAGCAGGTCTAAAGCAGGACTAAAAGCAGGACTAAAGCAGGTCTAAAGCCAGGACTAAAGCAGGACTAAAGCAGGACTAAAGCAGGTTTGAAGCAGGTCTAAAGCAGGTCTAAAGCAGGACTAAAGCAGGTCTAAAGCAGGTCTAAAGCAGGACTAAAGCAGGACTAAAGCAGGACTAAAGCAGGTTTGAAGCAGGTCTAAAGCAGGTCTAAAGCAGGTTTTTAAGCTGGTCTAAAGCAGGTTTAAAGCAGGTCTAAAGCAGGACTAAAGCAGGACTAAAGCAGATGTGGTCAGGAGCTTTGGTCAGGACCATAGACTGTATATATTAACGGACAGAGTCACGCCTATCTCCGCCGTTCTAACTAATTGGCCAAAAAATGTGCTCTACTGGAGCTATCCAAAATGGTCCCGCCCACAAGAAAATTGTGAAAAAACGCATCTGCGCATGTGTCAGCCGGAGACAGCTCCATTCATTTGAACGAGAGACTTCTAAAGTCCACAGCAAGTAAACTAGAGTGGACCAAAACACCCCCTCAGCATTGACACACATGTGGAACGGAGCTTTGGGCCAAGAGACAACTTTTGGTCCATCCTGTAAAGACCTTTTTGAGAGGTCTGCCAATGCTATATGTTAGCATTGGCTAATTCTTATTCTGGGTCCACCCCCACAGGCCCGGGGTGGTACTGCAGCCTGTCAGCGCACGTCATTTTGGCCACTTTTGAGCTGGGACCCGCCCCCACTGGTCAGGAGCAGTGGAGCTGTGGTCAGGAGCAGTGGAGATGTGGTCAGGAGCAGTGGAGCTGTGGTCAGGAGCTGTGGAGCTGTGGTCAGGAGCTGTGGTCAGGAGCAGTGGTCAGGAGCTGTGGAGCTGTGGTCAGGAGCTGTGGTCAGGAGCTGTAGTCAGGAGCTGTGGTCAGGAGCTGTGGAGCTGTGGTCAGGAGCTGTGGTCAGGAGCTGTAGTCAGGAGCTGTGGTCAGGAGCTGTGGTCAGGAGCTGTGGTCAGGAGCTGTGGTCAGGAGCTGTGGAGCTGTGGTCAGGAGCTGTGGTCAGGAGCAGTGGAGCTGTGGTCAGGAGCTGTGGTCAGGAGCAGTGGTCAGGAGCTGTGGAGCTGTGGTCAGGAGCTGTGGTCAGGAGCTGTAGTCAGGAGCTGTGGTCAGGAGCTGTGGTCAGGAGCTGTGGTCAGGAGCTGTAGTCAGGAGCTGTGGTCAGGAGCTGTGGTCAGGAGCTGTGGTCAGGAGCTGTAGTCAGGAGCTGTGGTCAGGAGCTGTAGTCAGGAGCTGTGGTCAGGAGCTGTGGTCAGGAGCTGTGGTCAGGAGCTGTGGAGCTGTGGTCAGGAGCTGTGGTCAGGAGCTGTAGTCAGGAGCTGTGGTCAGGAGCTGTGGTCAGGAGCTGTGGTCAGGAGCTGTGGAGCTGTGGTCAGGAGCTGTAGTCAGGAGCTGTGGTCAGGAGCTGTAGTCAGGAGCTGTGGTCAGGAGCTGTGGTCAGGAGCTGTGGAGCTGTGGTCAGGAGCTGTGGTCAGGAGCAGTGGAGCTGTGGTCAGGAGCTGTGGAGCTGTGGTCAGGAGCTGTGGTCAGGAGCTGTAGTCAGGAGCTGTGGTCAGGAGCTGTGGTCAGGAGCTGTAGTCAGGAGCTGTGGTCAGGAGCTGTGGTCAGGAGCTGTGGTCAGGAGCTGTGGTCAGGAGCTGTGGAGCTGTGGTCAGGAGCTGTGGTCAGGAGCTGTGGTCAGGAGCTGTGGTCAGGAGCTGTGGTCAGGAGCTGTGGTCAGGAGCTGTGGTCAGGAGCTGTAGTCAGGAGCTGTGGTCAGGAGCTGTAGTCAGGAGCTGTGGTCAGGAGCTGTAGTCAGGAGCTGTGGTCAGGAGCTGTGGTCAGGAGCTGTAGTCAGGAGCTGTGGTCAGGAGCTGTAGTCAGGAGCTGTGGTCAGGAGCTGTGGTCAGGAGCTGTAGTCAGGAGCTGTGGTCAGGAGCTGTAGTCAGGAGCTGTGGTCAGGAGCTGTGGTCAGGAGCTGTGGTCAGGAGCTGTGGTCAGGAGCTGTAGTCAGGAGCTGTAGTCAGGAGCTGTAGTCAGGAGCTGTAGTCAGGAGCTGTAGTCAGGAGCTGTGGTCAGTAGCTGTGGTCAGGAGCTGTGGTCAGGAGCTGTGGTCAGGAGCTGTGGTCAGGAGCTGTGGTCAGGAGCTGTAGTCAGGAGCTGTAGTCAGGAGCTGTGGTCAGGAGCTGTAGTCAGGAGCTGTGGTCAGGAGCTGTAGTCAGGAGCTGTAGTCAGGAGCTGTGGTCAGGAGCTGTGGTCAGGAGCTGTAGTCAGGAGCTGTGGTCAGGAGCTGTGGTCAGGAGCTGTGGTCAGGAGCTGTGGTCAGGAGCTGTAGTCAGGAGCTGTAGTCAGGAGCTGTAGTCAGGAGCTGTGGTCAGGAGCAGTGGTCAGGAGCTGTGGTCAGGAGCTGTAGTTAGGAGCTGTGGAGCTGTGGTCAGGAGCTGTGGTCAGGAGCTGTAGTTAGGAGCTGTGGAGCTGTGGTCAGGAGCTGTAGTTAGGAGCTGTAGTCAGGAGCTGTAGTTAGGAGCTGTAGTCAGGAGCTGTGGTCAGGAGCTGTAGTCAGGAGCTGTGGTCAGGAGCTGTGGTCAGGAGCTGTGGTCAGGAGCTGTGGTCAGGAGCTGTGGTCAGGAGCTGTAGTCAGGAGCTGTGGTCAGGAGCTGTAGTCAGGAGCTGTAGTCAGGAGCTGTGGTCAGGAGCTGTAGTTAGGAGCTGTAGTCCGGAGCTGTGGTCAGGAGCTGTGGTCAGGAGCTGTGGTCAGGAGCAGTGGTCAGGAGCTGTGGTCAGGAGCTGTGGTCAGGAGCAGTGGTCAGGAGCTGTGGTCAGGAGCTGTGGAGCTGTGGTCAGGAGCTGTGGTCAGGAGCTGTAGTCAGGAGCTGTGGTCAGGAGCTGTGGTCAGGAGCTGTGGTCAGGAGCTGTGGTCAGGAGCTGTAGTCCGGAGCTGTGGTCAGGAGCTGTGGTCAGGAGCTGTGGTCAGGAGCAGTGGTCAGGAGCTGTGGTCAGGAGCTGTAGTCAGGAGCTGTGGTCAGGAGCTGTAGTCAGGAGCTGTGGTCAGGAGCTGTGGTCAGGAGCTGTGGTCAGGAGCTGTGGTCAGGAGCTGTGGATCACATGTTTCAAAGCCACAGGAAGTGATGTCACCGAGGATTTCCTCTGATGCTGCTTCCTCAGTTTGACACAAACACACACAGACTCTGCTGGTCTGGGCCTCAGCTGGTCTGGGCCTCAGCTGGTCCGGGCCTCAGCTGGTCCAGGCCTCAGCTGGTCCGGGCCTCAGCTGGTCCAGGCCTCAGCTGGTCTGGGCCTCAGCTGGTCCAGGCCTCAGCTGGTCCGGGCCTCAGCTGGTCTGGGCCTCAGCTGGTCTGGGCCTCAGCTGGTCTGGGCCTCAGCTGGTCCAGGCCTCAGCTGGTCCGGGCCTCAGCTGGTCTGGGCCTCAGCTGGTCTGGGCCTCAGCTGGTCTGGGCCTCAGCTGGTCCGGGCCTCAGCTGGTCTGGGCCTCAGCTGGTCCGGGCCTCAGCTGGTCCAGGCCTCAGCTGGTCCGGGCCTCTGCTGGTCTGGGCCTCTGCTGGTCTGGGCCTCTACTGGTCCTAGCCTCAGCTGGTCTGGGTCAGTGTGATTTATTTCTATGGCACAGATGCTGTGATCAATGAGAAGCTCTAAATCAGCTCCAATGGAAAGTTCAGGATGTTCCCAGACCCCGGACTCTAGACCCGGACTCTAGACCCGGACTCTAGACCCCGAACTCTAGACCCTTGACTCTAAGTTAAAAGCTTAAAGCACATGTTAAAGTCTCAGGAGGTTTAGCTTAGACTTTAACAGAAGTTTTCTTCAGCTCGGCCTCCGCAGACGCGGCTCGTAAAAGCTGATAATTATAGGTGTAGGACCGCGGCGTCTGTGGAAACTGTCAGGATCCAACAAAACAAGGACCGACCGGAGAGAAACCTGCTTTAGACCCGCTTTAGACCTGCTTTAGTCCTGCTTTAGACCTGCTTTAGTCCTGCTTTAGACCTGCTTTAGACCTGCTTTAGTCCTGCTTTAGACCTGCTTTAGTCCTGCTTTAGTCCTGCTTTAAACCTGCTTTAGACCTGCTTTAGACCTGCTTTAGACCTGCTTTAGTCCTGCTTTAGACCTGCTTTAGTCCTGCTTTAGTCCTGCTTTAAACCTGCTTTAGACCTGCTTTAGTCCTGCTTTAGACCTGCTTTAGACCTGCTTTAGACCTGCTTTAGACCTGCTTTAGTCCTGCTTTAGACCTGCTTTAGACCTGCTTTAGACCTGCTTTAGACCTGGTTTAGACCTGCTTTAGTCCTGCATTAGTCCTGCTTTAGACCTGCTTTAGTCCTGCTTTAGACCTGCTTTAGACCTGCTTTAGTCCTGCTTTAGACCTGCTTTAGTCCTGCTTTAGTCCTGCTTTAAACCTGCTTTAGACCTGCTTTAGTCCTGCTTTAGACCTGCTTTAGACCTGCTTTAGACCTGCTTTAGACCTGCTTTAGACCTGCTTTAGACCTGCTTTAGACCTGCTTTAGACCTGGTTTAGACCTGCTTTAGACCTGCTTTAGACCTGCTTTAGACCTGCTTTAGACCTGCTTTAGACCTGCTTTAGACCTGCTTTTGTCCTGGTTTAGACCTGCTTTAGATCTGCTTTAGACCTGCTTTAAACCTGCTTTAGTCCTACTTTAGTCCTGCTTTAGACCTGCTTTAGACCTGCTTTAGACCTGCTTTAGACCTGCTTTAGTCCTGCTTCAAACCTGCTTTAGACCTGCTTTAGACCTGCTTTAGACCTGCTTTAGACCTGCTTTAGACCTGCTTCAAACCTGCTTTAGACCTGGTTTAGACCTGCTTTAGACCTGCTTTAGACCTGCTTTAGCCCTTTTTTTAGACCTGCTTTAGACCTGCTTTAGACCTGCTTTAAACCTGCTTTAGTCCTGCTTTAGTCCTGCTTTAGTCCTGCTTTAGACCTGCTTTAGACCTGCTTTAGACCTGCTTTAGACCTGCTTTAGACCTGCTTTAGACCTGCTTTAGACCTGCTTTTGTCCTGGTTTAGACCTGCTTTAGATCTGCTTTAGACCTGCTTTAAACCTGCTTTAGTCCTACTTTAGTCCTGCTTTAGACCTGCTTTAGACCTGCTTTAGACCTGCTTTAGACCTGCTTTAGTCCTGCTTCAAACCTGCTTTAGACCTGCTTTAGACCTGCTTTAGACCTGCTTTAGACCTGCTTTAGACCTGCTTTAGACCTGCTTTAGTCCTGCTTTAGTCCTGCTTCAAACCTGCTTTAGACCTGCTTTAGACCTGCTTTTAGACCTGCTTTAGACCTGCTTTAGACCTGCTTTAGACCTGCTTTAGACCTGCTTTAGACCTGCTTTAGACCTGCTTTAGACCTGCTTTAGACCTGCTTCAAACCTGCTTTAGACCTGCTTTAGACCTGCTTTAGACCTGCTTTAGACCTGCTTTAGACCTGCTTTAGCCCTTTTTTTAGACCTGCTTTAGACCTGCTTTAGACCTGCTTTAGTCCTGCTTTAGACCACCCCCCACTACTCTAACGACCCACCCATCAGCCCTGCCCCCAGCCTAACAATAGCCTCTAAAGAGATTAAACAACTCTTCTTGAGGCTGCACCCCCGCAAAGCTCCTCATTGGACTCATCTCCAACAACGATGAGTCCGCCTACAGGAGGGAGGTGGACCGGCTGGTGTCCTGGTGTCTCCTACAGGAGGGAGGTGGACCGGCTGGTGTCCTGGTGTCGCCTACAGGAGGGAGGTGGACCGGCTGGTGTCCTGGTGTCGCCTACAGGAGGGAGGTGGACCGGCTGGTGTCCTGGTGTCTCCTACAGGAGGGAGGTGGACCGGCTGGTGTCCTGGTGTCTCCTACAGGAGGGAGGTGGACCGGCTGGTGTCCTGGTGTCTCCTACAGGAGGGAGGTGGACCGGCTGGTGTCCTGGTGTCGCCTACAGGAGGGAGGTGGACCGGCTGGTGTCCTGGTGTCTCCTACAGGAGGGAGGTGGACCGGCTGGTGTCCTGGTGTCTCCTACAGGAGGGAGGTGGACCGGCTGGTGTCCTGGTGTCTCCTACAGGAGGGAGGTGGACCGGCTGGTGTCCTGGTGTCTCCTACAGGAGGGAGGTGGACCGGCTGGTGTCCTGGTGTCTCCTACAGGAGGGAGGTGGACCGGCTGGTGTCCTGGTGTCTCCTACAGGAGGGAGGTGGACCGGCTGGTGTCCTGGTGTCGCCTACAGGAGGGAGGTGGACCGGCTGGTGTCCTGGTGTCTCCTACAGGAGGGAGGTGGACCGGCTGGTGTCCTGGTGTCTCCTACAGGAGGGAGGTGGACCGGCTGGTGTCCTGGTGTCTCCTACAGGAGGGAGGTGGACCGGCTGGTGTCCTGGTGTCGCCTACAGGAGGGAGGTGGACCGGCTGGTGTCCTGGTGTCTCCTACAGGAGGGAGGTGGACCGGCTGGTGTCCTGGTGTCTCCTACAGGAGGGAGGTGGACCGGCTGGTGTCCTGGTGTCGCCTACAGGAGGGAGGTGGACCGGCTGGTGTCCTGGTGTCTCCTACAGGAGGGAGGTGGACCGGCTGGTGTCCTGGTGTCTCCTACAGGAGGGAGGTGGACCGGCTGGTGTCCTGGTGTCTCCTACAGGAGGGAGGTGGACCGGCTGGTGTCCTGGTGTCTCCTACAAGAGGGAGGTGGACCGGCTGGTGTCCTGGTGTCTCCTACAGGAGGGAGGTGGTGTTCCTACCGGAGGTGTCCTGGTGTCTCCTACAGGAGGGAGGTGGACCGGCTGGTGTCCTGGTGTCTCCTACAGGAGGGAGGTGGACCGGCTGGTGTCCTGGTGTCTCCTACAGGAGGGAGGTGGACCGGCTGGTGTCCTGGTGTCTCCTACAGGAGGGAGGTGGACCGGCTGGTGTCCTGGTGTCTCCTACAGGAGGGAGGTGGACCGGCTGGTGTCCTGGTGTCTCCTACAGGAGGGAGGTGTCCTGGTGGTCTCCTACAGGAGGGAGGTGGACCGGCTGGTGTTTCCTGGTGTCTCCTACAGGAGGAGGTGGACCGGCTGGTGTCCTGGTGTCTCCTACAGGAGGGAGGTGGACCGGGCTGGTGTCCTGGTGTCTCCTACAGGAGGGGAGGTGGACCGGCTGGTGTCCCTGGTGTCTCCTACAGGAGGGAGGTGGACCGGCTGGTGTCCTGGTGTCTCCTACAGGAGGGAGGTGGACCGGCTGGTGTCCTGGTGTCTCCTACAGGAGGGAGGTGGACCGGCTGGTGTCCTGGTGTCTCCTACAGGAGGGAGGTGGACCGGCTGGTGTCCTGGTGTCTCCTACAGGAGGGAGGTGGACCGGCTGGTGTCCTGGTGTCTCCTACAAGGAGGGAGGTGGACCGGCTGGTGTCCTGGTGTCTCCTACAGGAGGGAGGTGTCCTGGTGTCTCCTACAGGAGGGAGGTGTCCTGGTGTCTCCTACAGGAGGGAGGTGGACCGGCTGGTGTCCTGGTGTCTCCTACAGGAGGGAGGTGGACCGGCTGGTGTCCTGGTGTCTCCTACAGGAGGGAGGTGGACCGGCTGGTGTCCTGGTGTCTCCTACAGGAGGGAGGTGGACCGGCTGGTGTCCTGGTGTCTCCTACAGGAGGGAGGTGGACCGGCTGGTGTCCTGGTGTCTCCTACAGGAGGGAGGTGGACCGGCTGGTGTCCTGGTGTCTCCTACAGGAGGGAGGTGGACCGGCTGGTGTCCTGGTGTCTCCTACAGGAGGAGGTGGACCGGCTGGTGTCCTGGTGTCTCCTACAGGAGGGAGGTGGACCGGCTGGTGTCCTGGTGTCTCCTACAGGAGGGAGGTGGACCGGCTGGTGTCCTGGTGTCTCCTACAGGAGGGAGGTGGACCGGCTGGTGTCCTGGTGTCTCCTACAGGAGGGAGGTGGACCGGCTGGTGTCCTGGTGTCTCCTACAGGAGGGAGGTGGACCGGCTGGTGTCCTGGTGTCTCCTACAGGAGGGAGGTGGACCGGCTGGTGTCCTGGTGTCTCCTACAGGAGGGAGGTGGACCGGCTGGTGTCCTGGTGTCTCCTACAGGAGGAGGTGGACCGGCTGGTGTCCTGGTGTCTCCTACAGGAGGGAGGTGGACCGGCTGGTGTCCTGGTGTCTCCTACAGGAGGGAGGTGGACCGGCTGGTGTCCTGGTGTCTCCTACAGGAGGGAGGTGGACCGGCTGGTGTCCTGGTGTCTCCTACAGGAGGGAGGTGGACCGGCTGGTGTCCTGGTGTCTCCTACAGGAGGGAGGTGGACCGGCTGGTGTCTGGTTCTCCTACAGGAGGAGGTGGACGGCTGGTGTCCTGGTGTCTCCTACAGGAGGGAGGTGGACGGCTGGTGCCTGGTGTCTCCTACAGGAGGGAGGTGGACCGGCTGGTGTCCTGGTGTCTCCTACAGGAGGGAGGTGGACCGGCTGGTGTCCTGGTGTCTCCTACAGGAGGGAGGTGGACCGGCTGGTGTCCTGGTGTCTCCTACAGGAGGGAGGTGGACCGGCTGGTGTCCTGGTGTCTCCTACAGGAGGGAGGTGGACCGGCTGGTGTCCTGGTGTCTCCTACAGGAGGGAGGTGGACCGGCTGGTGTCCTGGTGTCTCCTACAGGAGGGAGGTGGACCGGCTGGTGTCCTGGTGTCTCCTACAGGAGGAGGTGGACCGGCTGGTGTCCTGGTGTCTCCTACAGGAGGGAGGTGGACCGGCTGGTGTCCTGGTGTCTCCTACAGGAGGAGGTGGACCGGCTGGTGTCCTGGTGTCGCCTACAGGAGGGAGGTGGACCGGCTGGTGTCCTGGTGTCGCCTACAGGAGGGAGGTGGACCGGCTGGTGTCCTGGTGTCTCCTACAGGAGGGAGGTGGACCGGCTGGTGTCCTGGTGCAGTGGTAACAACCTGGAGCTGAACGCCCAGAAGACAGTGGAGATGATTGTGGACTTCAGGAAGAGCACTGTCCCCCCGCCCCCACCCTCCGTGATGGACTCCCCCATCACCTCCTGCATCACCTCCTCCATCACCTCCTCCATCACCTCTGTGGAGTCCTTCCGTTTCCTGGGCACCACCATCACCCAGGACCTCAAGTGGGAGCCGACCATCAGCTCCCTCATCAAGAAGGCCCAGCAGAGGATGTACTTCCTGCGGCAGCTCAGGAAAGCCAAGCTGCAGTTCTACACGGCCATCATCGAGTCCATCCTCACCTCCTCCATCACCTCCTCCATCACCTCCTCCATCACCTCCTCCATCACCTCCTCCATCACCTCCTCCATCACCTCCTCCATCACCTCCTCATCACCTCCTCCATCACCTCCTCCATCACCTCCTCCATCACCACCTCCATCACCTCCTCCATCACCTCCTCATCACCTCCTCCATCACCTCCTCCATCACCTCCTCCATCACCTCCTCCATCACCTCCTCCATCACCTCCTCCATCACCTCCTCCATCACCTCCACCATCACCTCCTCCATCACCTCCATCACCTCCTCCATCACCTCCTCCATCACCTCCTCCATCACCTCCTCCATCACCTCCTCCATCACCGTGTGGTTCGTTGGAGCCACAGTCAGGGACAAACAGAGACTACAGTGCATTGTGCGCTCTGCAGAGGAAGTGATCGGCCGCAGCCTTCCATCGCTGCAGGACCTGTACGTCGCCCGAGCTCGAGGCCGGGCTGGTCGTATCACAGCCGACCCCTCTCACCTGCACATGGACTATTCCAACCACTCCCCTCTCACCCTGCACATGGACTATTCCAACCACTCCCCTCTCACCTGCACATGGACTATTCCAACCACTCCCCTCTCACCTGCACATGGACTATTCCAACCACTCCCCTCTCACCTGCACATGGACTATTCCAACCACTCCCCTCTCACCTGCACATGGACTATTCCAACCACTCCCCTCTCACCTGCACATGGACTATTCCAACCACTCCCCTCTCACCTGCACATGGACTATTCAACACTCCCCTCTCACCTGCACATGGACTATTCCAACCACTCCCCTCTCACCCTGCACATGGACTATTCCAACCACTCCCCTCTCACCTGCACATGGACTATTCCAACCACTCCCCTCACCTGCACATGGACTATTCCAACACTCCCCTCTCACCTGCACATGGACTATTCCAACCACTCCCTCCCTGCACATGGACTATTCCAACCACTCCCCTCTCACCTGCACATGGACTATTCCAACCACTCCCCTCTCACCTGCACATGGACTATTCCAACCACTCCCCTCTCACCTGCACATGGACTATTCCAACCACTCCCCTCTCACCTGCACATGGACTATTCCAACCACTCCCCTCCCTGCACATGGACTATTCCAACCACTCCCCTCTCACCTGCACATGGACTATTCCAACCACTCCCCTCTCACCTGCACATGGACTATTCCAACCACTCCCCTCTCACCTGCACATGGACTATTCCAACCACTCCCCTCTCACCTGCACATGGACTATTCCAACCACTCCCCTCTCACCTGCACATGGACTATTCCAACCACTCCCCTCTCACCTGCACATGGACTATTCCAACCACTCCCCTCTCACCTGCACATGGACTATTCCAACCACTCCCCTCTCACCTGCACATGGACTATTCCAACCACTCCCCTCAGGCAGGAGGCTGCGGTCCATCAGGACTAGAACCTCCCGCCACAAGAACAGTTTCTTCCCCTCTGCTGTTGGACTCTTGAACACTTCTTAAGCTGTCCCCCCGCCCTTTATAAAGTCACTTTACTGCCCATCATACGTCACTTTACTTCACTGTACTGCTGTCACCTTACATTGTGTGCACCATGTGCACTTGGATATTGTAAATAGTAACTGTAACTCTATTTTAAATTTAAATTTGTGTTTTTTATTCTTTATTTTTTATTATCTCTTTCTGACTGTTGCACTGAGCCAAAGCAATTTCCAAGTCAGTGACTTCCTGTTACTTACGTGGCAATAAAAATTATTCTGATTCATCTCCACTGCTCCTGACCATATATTTGCATGTGTGTGTGTGTGCGTGTGTGTGTGTGTGTGTGTGTTTGTATGCGTGTGTGTGTGTGTGCATGTGTGTGTGTGTGTGTGTGTTTGTATGCGTGTGTGTGTGCATGTGTGTGTGTGTGTGTGTGTGTGTTTGTATGCGTGTGTGTGTGTGTGCTTGTGTGTGTGTGTGTGTGTGTGTTTGTATGCGTGTGTGTGTGCATGTGTGTGTGTGTTTGTATGCGTGTGTGTGTGTGTGTCTGTGTTTGTACTGTATGCGTGTGTGTTTGTTTGCATGTGTGCGTGTGTGTGTGTATATATTTTTAAAAGAATGCAACAAAAATGTCCCTCAAACCATCAACCACAGTCAGGAATGTGTCACTTATGGTCCAGAGTAGAAGTGTTTTTGTTACACGTATGTTACAGGTATGTTACATGTACACATGGTACAGAGGACACATGGTACAGAGGACACACGGTACAGAGGACACATGGTACAGAGGACACAGAGGATACTTGGTACAGAGGACACAGAGGACACATGGTACAGAGGACACAGAGGACACATGGTACAGAGGACACAGAGGACACATGGTACAGAGTACACAGAGGACACATGCTACAGAGGACACAGAGGACACATGGTACAGAGGACACAGAGGACACATGCTACAGAGGACACATGCTACAGAGGACACATGGTACAGACAACACAGAGTACAGAGGACACATGCTACAGAGGACACATGCTACAGAGGACACATGCTACAGAGGACACATGGTACAGAGGACACAGAAGACACATGGTACAGAGGACACAGAGGACACATGGTACAGAGGACACAGAGGACACATGGTACAGAGGACACAGAGGACACATGGTACAGAGGACACAGAGGACACATGCTACAGAGGACACATGCTACAGAGGACACATGGTACAGAGGACACAGAAGACACATGGTACAGAGGACACATAGGACACATGGTACAGAGGACACAGAGAACACATGGTACAGAGGACACAGAGGACACATGGTACAGAGGACACATGCTACAGAGGACACAGAGGACACATGGTACAGAGGACACAGAGGACACATGGTACAGAGGACACATGCTACAGAGGACACATGGTACAGAGGACACATGGTACAGAGGACACATGGTACAGAGGACACATGCTACAGAGGACACATGGTACAGAGGACACATGGTACAGAGTACACAGAGGACACATGGTACAGAGGACACATGGTACAGAGTACACAGAGGACACATGGTACAGCGGACACATGGTACAGAGGACACAGAGTACAGAGGACACATGGTACAGAGGACACATGCTACAGAGGACACATGGTACAGAGGACACATGTTACAGAGTACACAGAGGACACATGGTACAGAGGACACAGAGGACACATGGTACAGAGGACACATGCTACAGAGGACACATGGTACAGACAACACAGAGTACAGAGGACACATGGTACATAGGACACATGGTACAGAGGACACATGCTACAGAGGACACAGAGGACACATGGTACAGAGGACACTCACCAGTGCGCCTCCCTCAGGACGCTGCTCCTCCTCCGCTCTGCGCCTCCTCACTGCACCACAACAGAGACAGAGGGGTCAGCTGAACTGTAACGATGTATGGCAGCCCAGGAACATAAAGTAAGGGATAATGTATCTTACACAGGTCATTATCTGAAAATAAGTACCTTCAGGCGAAGCGGACACCGACCCCTGCGTAATATACGTTATCCCGCTTATTATACGGCTTTATACCAACAGAACACACAACATAAACCTCAGTCACTTTTAGGAATGCCCAAAGGTTTATTTAAAATAAGAAAGAAAATAAAATAGTTCCCAAAGGCTTTCCCGTGGCTATGCTAGCACCATTAGGCTAACAACTTCCAAACTAGAACTCTCTGGAACTGTATGAAAACTGAACACAGAATCCTGAACATCAGCGGTGAGTGACCCAAACATAAACTTAACCTAAATCCATAATTCCATCCTCTGCAAATGTTCCTAAAATGTGCCGTATCTACTTCTGGGTTTTTCACCATCGCCTTTTCTCGCATTACATCAGTGTTTTTGTCATGAAAACGGAAACGGAAAATTCTGAAAACTTCCTTGTATTAAGACTGTATATATATAATGTATTCTCCAGAACTACTGTCGGAGTTATCCACGCATCTGAGAGACAAGCAGAGAGTGCGTTGCCAAAGGGCAGCGGTCATTATTGTTTTGAAATGTCCGTTATAGAAAATAATGACCGGCAGAACGTTTTGAAATGACATTCACATGAATGGTTCTGCTGCTGCTGTGAGGAGCGTGTGATAAACATTTAGAATCTCTGAATCAAAACACCTACAGTCTGTTCCTCTGAGGCTCACATTCCAGACAGAACCTTTTCAATGACTTAAGCTCAATGGGCCTCATTCACGAATAACTTCGTAAGAAACTACTCAACTTTCTTCTCAAGTTGTCCTTAAGTAGATTTCTAAGAAATCCCTACGTGGGATTCATCAACGCACTCGTAAGCCGCTGAATTGTTCGCAGCTGTTCTCTCAGATTGATGAATCCCATTTCCTCGTAAGTACAGCGCGCGTGCCAGGTGCTTCATTAGCATAGGTACTTAGCATAAGTAACCGCCCATTAATGCCCATATAAGGGGCTGCAGGGCCGTGTGCAGACGGCAGAGGAAACAGCAACAGGCCTAAAGCAGGCCTTTTTTCTTCTTTTACCAGACTGAGAATAAAGTTATAAAATGTTGACTTAAAAGTCAAAATATTATGATAATAAAGTCGAACTAGCAAAATTATGAGATTAATCTAAGAATATGATGAGATTAATCTCAAAATGTTATGAGCTTAATTTAAAAATATATTATGTATTATTTTAAAGATGAATCTCAAAATGTTTTGAGATTAATCTCAAAATATTTTGGACCCTGGGAGGAGATCCAGCGCGGACCAGCGCTGAGACCAATGCAGACCCGAGGAGAGACTGGAGTGACCAGCACACAGAAACCAGCGCGGACCTATAGGAGAGACCGCATAGACTGGAGTGACCTGACTGGAGAGACCGGTGCGCAGAGACCAGCGCGGACCCGTATAGATCCATAGGAGAGACCAGCGCAGAGACTCAGCGCGGACCCAGTAACCTCCTGCAGCAGCAGTATATATGCCGTTGTTCTGTGGCCCGTGGATAAAGAAATGCCCCCTATAAATAGGAAGGGGTCACTAATACACGGCAAGATTTCCAATGTATTTGATAAAGCGTTGGCACATTTCATTTCAAAATGAATTAAAAAGTATAGGCCAGATCTGCAGTGAAAAAGGCGGTATATAAATAAAGATTACTAATAAAGATTACTACAAATAAATAAATACATACATCGATATGACGGACATATCACTGGAATGTTGTATTTTTATTCAACTTCACCAAAGAGGACAACCCCGGCGTGTGAACATGTCGGCACTGAATGCGTACGAGTGCTCCTGAGGACTCGTAGGATTTGTACTTGCCCAAGAGAAATTCTGGTTACGAGAAATATTCGTGAATGCCACTTTCTTCGTAAAAACCGCGTAAGTAGGATTTACGTACAAATCTGTTCCTAAGAACCGTTCGTGAATGAGGCCCAATGCTCCTGACTACAGCTCCTGACCACAGCTCCTGACCACAGCTCCTGACTACAGCTCCTGACCACAGCTCCTGACCACAGCTCCTGACCACAGCTCCTGACCACAGCTCCTGACCACAGCTCCTGACCACAGCTCCTGACCACAGCTCCTGACCACAGCTCCTGACCACAGCTCCTGACCACAGCTCCTGACTACAGCTCCTGACCACAGCTCCTGACTACAGCTCCTGACCACAGCTCCTGACTACAGCTCCTGACCACAGCTCCTGACCACAGCTCCTGACCACAGCTCCTGACCACAGCTCCTGACTACAGCTCCTGACCACAGCTCCTGACCACAGCTCCTGACCACAGCTCCTGACTACAGCTCCTGACCACAGCTCCTGACCACAGCTCCTGACCACAGCTCCTGACTACAGCTCCTGACCACAGCTCCTGACCACAGCTCCTGACTACAGCTCCTGACTACAGCTCCTGACTACAGCTCCTGACCACAGCTACTGACCACAGCTCCTGACTACAGCTCCTGACCACAGCTCCTGACCACAGCTCCTGACCACAGCTCCTGACCACAGCTCCTGACCACAGCTCCTGACTACAGCTCCTGACCACAGCTCCTGACCACAGCTCCTGACCACAGCTCCTGACCACAGCTCCTGACTACAGCTCCTGACCACAGCTCCTGACCACAGCTCCTGACTACAGCTCCTGACTACAGCTCCTGACTACAGCTCCTGACCACAGCTACTGACCACAGCTCCTGACTACAGCTCCTGACTACAGCTCCTGACTACAGCTCCTGACTACAGCTCCACAGCTCCTGACCACAGCTCCTGACTACAGCTCCTGACCACAGCTCCTGACCACAGCTCCTGACCACAGCTCCTGACCACAGCTCCTGACCACAGCTCCTGACCACAGCTCCTGACTACAGCTCCTGACCACAGCTCCTGACTACTGCTCCTGACTACAGCTCCTGACCACAGCTCCTGACTACAGCTCCTGACTACAGCTCCTGACCACAGCTCCTGACTACAGCTCCTGACTACAGCTCCTGACTACAGCTCCTGACTACAGCTCCTGACCACAGCTCCTGACTACAGCTCCTGACTACAGCTCCTGACTACAGCTCCTGACCACAGCTCCTGACTACAGCTCCTGACTACAGCTCCTGACCACAGCTCCTGACCACAGCTCCTGACCACAGCTCCTGACTACAGCTCCTGACTACAGCTCCTGACCACAGCTCCTGACTACAGCTCCTGACTACAGCTCCTGACCACAGCGCCTGACCACAGCTCTGACCACAGCTCCTGACTACAGCTCCTGACCACAGCTCCTGACTACAGCTCCTGACCACAGCTCCTGACCACAGCTCCTGACTACAGCTCCTGACTACAGCTCCTGACCACAGCTCCTGACTACAGCTCCTGACTACAGCTCCTGACCACAGCTCCTGACCACAGCTCCTGACCACAGCTCCTGACTACAGCTCCTGACTACAGCTCCTGACTACAGCTCCTGACCACAGCTCCTGACTACAGCTCCTGACTACAGCTCCTGACCACAGCTCCTGACCACAGCTCCTGACCACAGCTCCTGACCACAGCTCCTGACCACAGCTCCTGACTACAGCTCCTGACTACAGCTCCTGACCACAGCTCCTGACCACAGCTCCTGACTACAGCTCCTGACTACAGCTCCTGACCACAGCTCCTGACCACAGCTCCTGACCACAGCTCCTGACTACAGCTCCTGACCACAGCTCCTGACTACAGCTCCTGACCACAGCTCCTGACCACAGCTCCTGACTACAGCTCCTGACTACAGCTCCTGACCACAGCTCCTGACTACAGCTCCTGACTACAGCTCCTGACCACAGCTCCTGACCACAGCTCCTGACCACAGCTCCTGACTACAGCTCCTGACTACAGCTCCTGACTACAGCTCCTGACCACAGCTCCTGACTACAGCTCCTGACTACAGCTCCTGACCACAGCTCCTGACCACAGCTCCTGACCACAGCTCCTGACCACAGCTCCTGACTACAGCTCCTGACTACAGCTCCTGACCACAGCTCCTGACTACAGCTCCTGACTACAGCTCCTGACCACAGCTCCTGACTACAGCTCCTGACCACAGCTCCTGACTACAGCTCCTGACCACAGCTCCTGACCACAGCTCCTGACCACAGCTCCTGACTACAGCTCCTGACCACAGCTCCTGACCACAGCTCCTGACTACAGCTCCTGACTACAGCTCCTGACTACAGCTCCTGACCACAGCTCCTGACTACAGCTCCTGACTACAGCTCCTGACTACAGCTCCTGACTACAGCTCCTGACTACAGCTCCTGACTACAGCTCCTGACCACAGCTCCTGACTACAGCTCCTGACCACAGCTCCTGACCACAGCTCCTGACTACAGCTCCTGACCACAGCTCCTGACCACAGCTCCTGACTACAGCTCCTGACTACAGCTCCTGACCACAGCTACTGACCACAGCTCCTGACTACAGCTCCTGACCACAGCTCCTGACCACAGCTCCTGACCACAGCTCCTGACTACAGCTCCTGACCACAGCTCCTGACCACAGCTCCTGACTACAGCTCCTGACTACAGCTCCTGACTACAGCTCCTGACCACAGCTCCTGACTACAGCTCCTGACTACAGCTCCTGACTACAGCTCCTGACTACAGCTCCTGACTACAGCTCCTGACTACAGCTCCTGACTACAGCTCCTGACCACAGCTCCTGACCACAGCTCCTGACCACAGCTCCTGACTACAGCTCCTGACTACAGCTCCTGACCACAGCTCCTGACTACAGCTCCTGACTACAGCTCCTGACCACAGCTCCTGACCACAGCTCCTGACCACAGCTCCTGACTACAGCTCCTGACCACAGCTCCTGACTACAGCTCCTGACCACAGCTCCTGACCACAGCTCCTGACTACAGCTCCTGACTACAGCTCCTGACCACAGCTCCTGACTACAGCTCCTGACTACAGCTCCTGACCACAGCTCCTGACCACAGCTCCTGACTACAGCTCCTGACTACAGCTCCTGACTACAGCTCCTGACTACAGCTCCTGACTACAGCTCCTGACCACAGCTCCTGACTACAGCTCCTGACCACAGCTCCTGACCACAGCTCCTGACTACAGCTCCTGACCACAGCTCCTGACCACAGCTCCTGACTACAGCTCCTGACTACAGCTCCTGACCACAGCTACTGACCACAGCTCCTGACTACAGCTCCTGACCACAGCTCCTGACCACAGCTCCTGACCACAGCTCCTGACTACAGCTCCTGACCACAGCTCCTGACCACAGCTCCTGACTACAGCTCCTGACTACAGCTCCTGACTACAGCTCCTGACCACAGCTCCTGACTACAGCTCCTGACTACAGCTCCTGACTACAGCTCCTGACTACAGCTCCTGACTACAGCTCCTGACTACAGCTCCTGACTACAGCTCCTGACCACAGCTCCTGACCACAGCTCCTGACTACAGCTCCTGACCACAGCTCCTGACCACAGCTCCTGACCACAGCTCCTGACTACAGCTCCTGACTACAGCTCCTGACCACAGCTCCTGACCACAGCTCCTGACCACAGCTCCTGACTACAGCTCCTGACCACAGCTCCTGACTACAGCTCCTAACTACAGCTCCTGACCACAGCTCCTGACTACAGCTCCTGACTACAGCTCCTGACTACAGCTCCTGACTACAGCTCCTGACCACAGCTCCTGACCACAGCTCCTGACCACAGCTCCTGACCACAGCTCCTGACTACAGCTCCTGACTACAGCTCCTGACCACAGCTCCTGACTACAGCTCCTGACTACAGCTCCTGACTACAGCTCCTGACTACAGCTCCTGACTACAGCTCCTGACCACAGCTCCTGACTACAGCTCCTGACCACAGCTCCTGACCACAGCTCCTGACTACAGCTCCTGACCACAGCTCCTGACCACAGCTCCTGACTACAGCTCCTGACTACAGCTCCTGACCACAGCTACTGACCACAGCTCCTGACCACAGCTCCTGACCACAGCTCCTGACTACAGCTCCTGACCACAGCTCCTGACCACAGCTCCTGACTACAGCTCCTGACTACAGCTCCTGACTACAGCTCCTGACCACAGCTCCTGACTACAGCTCCTGACTACAGCTCCTGACTACAGCTCCTGACTACAGCTCCTGACTACAGCTCCTGACTACAGCTCCTGACTACAGCTCCTGACTACAGCTCCTGACCACAGCTCCTGACCACAGCTCCTGACCACAGCTCCTGACCACAGCTCCTGACCACAGCTCCTGACCACAGCTCCTGACCACAGCTCCTGACTACAGCTCCTGACCACAGCTCCTGACCACAGCTCCTGACCACAGCTCCTGACTACAGCTCCTGACCACAGCTCCTGACTACAGCTCCTAACTACAGCTCCTGACCACAGCTCCTGACTACAGCTCCTGACTACAGCTCCTGACTACAGCTCCTGACTACAGCTCCTAACTACAGCTCCTGACCACAGCTCCTGACTACAGCTCCTGACTACAGCTCCTGACTACAGCTCCTGACCACAGCTCCTGACCACAGCTCCTGACCACAGCTCCTGACCACAGCTCCTGACTACAGCTCCTGACCACAGCTCCTGACCACAGCTCCTGACCACAGCTCCTGACCACAGCTCCTGACCACAGCTCCTGACTACAGCTCCTGACGACAGCTCCTGACGACAGCTCCTGACCACAGCTCCTGACTACAGCTCCTGACCACAGCTCCTGACCACAGCTCCTGACTACAGCTCCTGACCACAGCTCCTGACCACAGCTCCTGACTACAGCTCCTGACTACAGCTCCTGACCACAGCTCCTGACTACAGCTCCTGACTACAGCTCCTGACCACAGCTCCTGACCACAGCTCCTGACCACAGCTCCTGACCACAGCTCCTGTTTGTCCGTAAACCATCACTAAAGAGAAAACAGTCTGTTCTCACCGTGACTGTGCTCCTCCCTGATGCTCCTGATGCCAGGCCCCTTCTCCTCCTGCTGCTCCTGCTGCTGCTCCCTGATGCCAGGCCCCTTCTCCTCCTGCTCCTCCTTCTGCTGCTCCCTGATGCTCCTGATGCCAGACCGCTTTTCCTCCTGCTGCTCCTCCTGATGCTCCCTGATGCTCCTGATGGCTGCTCTGATGATTCTCCTCTCCTCATATTCTGGAGCAGAGCGCAGCTGCAGCACACAGTGTTAGTGTCACATCAGGAAATGTCCTTTAGGGCTAGAAACTCCTCTAGAACCTCCTCTACAGCCTCCTCTACAGCCTCCTCTAGAACCTCCTCTACAGTCTCCTTTAGAGCCTCCTTTAGATCCTCCTCTAGAGCCTCCTCTAGAACCTCCTCTATAGCTTCCTCTACAGCCTCCTTTAGATCCTCCTCTAGAACCTCCTCTACAGTCTCCTTTAGAGCCTCCTCTAGAACCTCCTCTACAGCCTCCTTTAGATCCTCCTCTAGAGCCTCCTCTAGAGCCTCCTCTAGAGCCTCCTCTACAGTCTCCTTTAGATCCTCCTCTGGAACATCCTCTAAAGCAGGGGTGTCAAACTTATTTTAGTTGAGGGCCGAATATAAAGAGAAAGGGCTGGTCAGGGGCCGAAAGAATAAGTGGGTTTAATTTCTTAATTTTTTTTGGAATATTAAGGTATCTATTTAAATTACTTGTTTCACATTAGTTGGATTGGACATTCTTTTTTGATTAGAATGAGTTCAGTTACTGTGGACTGAACAAAAACTGGACCAAATATTGAAAGTATATAGGAAGATTTTCTATTTTTTGGTGGATCATCAAAACTATTGGTCCTCCCAATTGTCAATCATTCTGGTGATTCGTTCTCGTCCAAAAGACCAGCGTTTTGTTCACAAAAGTGGAGAGGGCGGTTCTTTCCTAAGAAAATTGGGAAATCCTCCTTCATATCTTTAAGATGAAATATCATTGAAGATTCATAAAAAAAGGAAAAATAAAAAACATAACATAACAATACTAACTTCTAATTACATGTTGGCTTAATATTTCTTATGGAATTGAATTTTATGGTTGTTTTCTTGAGAAAATTAGTAATGGATAACGTACGGATAAGTAGCTCAGTTGGTAGAGCATTGGCCTTTGGGCCTGAAGGTCGTGGGTTCGAGCCCACCGTAAGACCTACTTCACGACTCCCACTGATGACTGCTGTCGTTGTGTCCTTGGGCAAGACACTTAACCCTACTTTGCCCAAAGCCCCCACTGAAAGATCTCAGCTCCTGTGGACTCAGCTCCTGCAGGAGGATCAGTGAGGGGCTGGTGCTATGTGTACTGGGTGCAGCTCTGACTGACACCACACATGGTGTGACGTCATGTGTGATGATTATGGATATAGGTTCATATATAAATGATTATGGATATAGGTTCATATATAAATGATTATGGATATAGGTTCATATATAAATGATTATGGATATAGGTTCATATATAAATGATTATGGATATAGGTTCAGTTTATAAATGATTATGGATATAGGTTCATATATAAATGATTATGGACATAGGTTCATATATAAATGATTATGGATATAGGTTCATATATAAATGATTATGGATATAGGTTCATATATAAATGATTATGGATATAGGTTCATATATAAATGATTATGGATATAGGTTCATATATAAATGATTATGGATATAGGTTCAGTTTATAAATGATTATGGATATAGGTTCATATATAAATGATTATGGACATAGGTTCATATATAAATGATTATGGATATAGGTTCATATATAAATGATTATGGATATAGGTTCAGTATATAAATGATTATGGATATAGGTTCAGTATATAAATGATTATGGATATAGGTTCAGTATATAAATGATTATGGACATAGGTTCATATATAAATGATTATGGATATAGGTTCATATATAAATGATTATGGATATAGGTTCATATATAAATGATTATGGATATAGGTTCAGTTTATAAATGATTATGGATATAGGTTCATATATAAATGATTATGGATATAGGTTCAGTATATAAATGATTATGGATATAGGTTCATATATAAATGATTATGGATATAGGTTCATATATAAATGATTATGGATATAGGTTCAGTTTATAAATGATTATGGATATAGGTTCATATATAAATGATTATGGATATAGGTTCAGTTTATAAATGATTATGGATATAGGTTCATATATAATGGAGGCTTGATTCTGAGGCTCCGTGAAAACAAACAACTGAGCATGAGCAGCTGCAGCATCAGCGCCGATGATTGACAGCCCTTGGCATGACTCGATTGGTTAACCTCGACGGCATCGTGGATTCTGAGCTATAGCTAAGAGCAGGGAAGGCGGGACTTACCCGTAATATTAGAATTAATAAAATGACTTATTTTATATCAACATTTAGGGCTAGGAGGTCAATTTTACACATTTCCTAAAATGTGTAATTCATTTAGAGTTACAGACTACAGGCGTGGATAGCACTCTCGCCTCGCAGCAAGAAGGTCATGGGTTCGAATCCCAGTCGGACCAGGGCCTTTCTGAGTGTAGTTTACATGTTCTGCGTAGGTTTCCTCTGGGTACTCCGGTTTCCCCTACCACTAAAAATATGTACAATAGGTCTGGCATGTGCCTCCTGTTCGGCGACCCCGCTCCCATCTCTGTGTGGAGTGAGAGACAAATGCCCAAAAAATAACAAGAGTAAACCACTTTGTGACTCTGGTCTGTGAAAGGCGCTATATAAATAAACATTACTTACTTACTTACTTACTATCACTTTAAGGTTAAGGTGGTCTGAGTAAGATGGTTAAGGTTAGGGTTAAGGTGGTCTGAGTAAGATGGTTAAGGTTAGGGTTAAGGTGGTCTGAGTAAGATGGTTAAGGTTAGGGTTAAGGTGGTCTGAGTAAGATGGTTAAGGTTAGGGTTAAGGTGGTCTGAGTAAGATGGTTAAGGTTAGGGTTAAGGTGGTCTGAGTAAGATGGTTAAGGTTAGGGTTAAGGTGGTCTGAGTAAGATGGTTAAGGTTAGTGTTAAGGTGGTCTGAGTAAGATGGTTAAGGTTAGGGTTAAGGTGGTCTGAGTAAGATGGTTAAGGTTAGGGTTAAGGTGGTCTGAGTAAGATGGTTAAGGGGAGGGTTAAGGTGGTCTGAGTAAGATGGTTAAGGTTAGGGTTAAGGTGGTCTGAGTAAGATGGTTAGGGTTAGGGTTAAGGTGGTCTGAGTAAGATGGTTAAGGTTAGGGTTAAGGTGGTCTGAGTAAGATGGTTAAGGTTAGAGTTAAGGTGGTCTGAGTAAGATGGTTAAGGTTAGGGTTAAGGTGGGTCTGAGTAAGATGGTTAAGGTTAGGGTTAAGGTGGTCTGAGTAAGATGGTTAAGGTTAGGGTTAAGGTGGTCTGAGTAAGATGGTTAAGGTTAGGGTTAAGGTGGGTCTGATTAAGATGGTTAAGGTTAGGGTTAAGATGGTCTGAGTAAGATGGTTAAGGTTAGGGTTAAGGTGGGTCTGATTAAGATGGTTAAGGTTAGTGTTAAGGTGGTCTGAGTAAGATGGTTAAGGTTAGGGTTAAGGTGGTCTGAGTAAGATGGTTAAGGTTAGGGTTAAGGTGGTCTGAGTAAGATAGTTAAGGTTAGGGTTAAGGTGGTCTGAGTAAGATGGTTAAGGTTAGGGTTAAGGTGGTCTGAGTAAGATGGTTAAGGTTAGGGTTAAGGTGGGTCTGAGTAAGATGGTTAAGGTTAGAGTTAAGGTGGTCTGAGTAAGATGGTTAAGGTTAGGGTTAAGGTGGTCTGAGTAAGAGGTTAAGGTTAGGGTTAAGGTGGTCTGAGTAAGATGGTTAAGGTTAGGGTTAAGGTGGGTCTGAGTAAGATGGTTAAGGTTAGGGTTAAGGTGGTCTGAGTAAGATGGTTAAGGTTAGGGTTAAGGTGGGTCTGATTAAGATGGTTAAGGTTAGGGTTAAGGTGGGTCTGAGTAAGATGGTTAAGGTTAGGGTTAAGGTGGTCTGAGTAAGATGGTTAAGGTTAGGGTTAAGGTGGTCTGAGTAAGATGGTTAAGGTTAGGGTTAAGGTGGGTCTGAGTAAGATGGTTAAGGTTAGGGTTAAGGTGGGCTGAGTAAGATGGTTAAGGTTAGGGTTAAGGTGGTCTGAGTAAGATGGTTAAGGTTAGGGTTAAGGTGGTCTGAGTAAGATGGTTAAGGTTAGGGTTAAGGTGGTCTGAGTAAGATGGTTAAGGTTAGGGTTAAGGTGGGTCTGAGTAAGATGGTTAAGGTTAGTGTTAAGGTGGTCTGAGTAAGATGGTTAAGGTTAGGGTTAAGGTGGTCTGAGTAAGATGGTTAAGGTTAGGGTTAAGGTGGTCTGAGTAAGATGGTTAAGGTTAGGGTTAAGGTGGTCTGAGTAAGATGGTTAAGGTTAGGGTTAAGGTGGTCTGAGTAAGATGGTTAAGGTTAGTGTTAAGGTGGTCTGAGTAAGATGGTTAAGGTTAGGGTTAAGGTGGGTCTGAGTAAGATGGTTAAGGTTAGGGTTAAGGTGGTCTGAGTAAGATGGTTAAGGTTAGGGTTAAGGTGGTCTGAGTAAGATGGTTAAGGTTAGGGTTAAGGTGGGTCTGATTAAGATGGTTAAGGTTAGGGTTAAGATGGTCTGAGTAAGATGGTTAAGGTTAGGGTTAAGGTGGTCTGAGTAAGATGGTTAAGGTTAGGGTTAAGGTGGTCTGAGTAAGATGGTTAAGGTTAGGGTTAAGGTGGTCTGAGTAAGATGGTTAAGGTTAGGGTTAAGGTGGTCTGAGTAAGATGGTTAAGGTTAGGGTTAAGGTGGTCTGAGTAAGATGGTTAAGGTTAGGGTTAAGGTGGGTCTGAGTAAGATGGTTAAGGTTAGGGTTAAGGTGGTCTGAGTAAGATGGTTAAGGTTAGGGTTAAGGTGGTCTGAGTAAGATGGTTAAGGTTAGGGTTAAGGTGGGTCTGAGTAAGATGGTTAAGGTTAGGGTTAAGGTGGTCTGAGTAAGATGGTTAAGGTTAGGGTTAAGGTGGGTCTGATTAAGATGGTTAAGGTTAGGGTTAAGGTGGGTCTGAGTAAGATGGTTAAGGTTAGGGTTAAGGTGGTCTGAGTAAGATGGTTAAGGTTAGGGTTAAGGTGGGCTGAGTAAGATGGTTAAGGTTAGGGTTAAGGTGGTCTGAGTAAGATGGTTAAGGTTAGGGTTAAGGTGGTCTGAGTAAGATGGTTAAGGTTAAGGTGGTCTGAGTAAGATGGTTAAGGTTAGGGTTAAGGTGGGCTGAGTAAGATGGTTAAGGTTAGGGTTAAGGTGGTCTGAGTAAGATGGTTAAGGTTAGGGTTAAGGTGGTCTGAGTAAGATGGTTAAGGTTAAGGTGGTCTGAGTAAGATGGTTAAGGTTAGGGTTAAGGTGGTCTGAGTAAGATGGTTAAGGTTAGTGTTAAGGTGGTCTGAGTAAGATGGTTAAGGTTAGGGTTAAGGTGGTCTGAGTAAGATGGTTAAGGTTAGGGTTAAGGTGGTCTGAGTAAGATGGTTAAGGTTAGGGTTAAGGTGGTCTGAGTAAGATGGTTAAGGTTAGGGTTAAGGTGGTCTGAGTAAGATGGTTAAGGTTAGTGTTAAGGTGGTCTGAGTAAGATGGTTAAGGTTAGGGTTAAGGTGGGTCTGAGTAAGATGGTTAAGGTTAGGGTTAAGGTGGTCTGAGTAAGATGGTTAAGGTTAGGGTTAAGGTGGTCTGAGTAAGATGGTTAAGGTTAGGGTTAAGGTGGTCTGAGTAAGATGGTTAAGGTTAGGGTTAAGGTGGTCTGAGTAAGATGGTTAAGGTTAGGGTTAAGGTGGGCTGAGTAAGATGGTTAAGGTTAGGGTTAAGGTGGTCTGAGTAAGATGGTTAAGGTTAGGGTTAAGGTGGTCTGAGTAAGATGGTTAAGGTTAGGGTTAAGGTGGTCTGAGTAAGATGGTTAAGGTTAGGGTTAAGGTGGTCTGAGTAAGATGGTTAAGGTTAGGGTTAAGGTGGTCTGAGTAAGATGGTTAAGGTTAGGGTTAAGGTGGTCTGAGTAAGATGGTTAAGGTTAGGGTTAAGGTGGGCTGAGTAAGATGGTTAAGGTTAGTGTTAAGGTGGTCTGAGTAAGATGGTTAAGGTTAGGGTTAAGGTGGTCTGAGTAAGATGGTTAAGGTTAGGGTTAAGGTGGTCTGAGTAAGATGGTTAAGATTAGGGTTAAGGTGGTCTGAGTAAGATGGTTAAGGTGGTCTGAGTAAGATGGTTAAGGTTAGGGTTAAGGCTGGGTTGGGGTTATTTTATGGGAATGGCTGGTTAAGTTTAGGCATAAATAGATAGTTTGTTGTATTTACTTCCGCTTCCGTCCAGGGTTAGGGTTAGATTTATTTATTTATTTATTTATTTATTAGATCGGGACAACACACATTAATGAACAATCATATACAAGTTGTACACAAATTGTAAATGTGCCAGATTGTAGCAAAACTGCTAATTTACATCCGTAGTCCCGAGGCAGGTCACACAACAATAAAAATACAAAAGGACAATATACAATTATAGAAATTACAGTTAGTTGAAATGAGTGCAGGACTGATTTACTTTAAAATGGTGTTTTAGTTGATTTTTAAAAGAGCTAATGTTGGGCATTCTCTTATGTCTGTAGGAAGGTTGTTCCAAGACCGACCTCCTCTGACCTCCTCTGACTGACCTCCTCTGACCTCCTCTGACCTCCTCTGACCTCCTCTGACTGACCTCCTCTGACCTCCTCTGACCTCCTCTGACCTCCTCTGACTGACCTCCTCTGACCTCCTCTGACCTCCTCTGACTGACCTCCTCTGACCTCCTCTGACCTCCTCTGACTGACCTCCTCTGACCTCCTCTGACCTCCTCTGACTGACCTCCTCTGACCTCCTCTGACTGACCTCCTCTGACCTCCTCTGACTGACCTCCTCTGACCTCTTCTGACCTCCTCTGACTGACCTCCTCTGACCTCCTCTGACTGACCTCCTCTGACCTCCTCTGACTGACCTCCTCTGACCGACCTCCTCTGACCTCCTCTGACTGACCTCCTCTGACCTCCTCTGACTGACCTCCTCTGACCTCCTCTGACTGACCTCCTCTGACCTCCTCTGACCGACCTCCGCTGACCTCCTCTGACCTCCTCTGACTGACCTCCTCTGACCTCCTCTGACCTCCTCTGACCGACCTCCTCTGACCTCCTCTGACTGACCTCCTCTGACCTCCTCTGACTGACCTCCTCTGACCTCCTCTGACTGACCTCCTCTGACCTCCTCTGACCTCCTCTGACTGACCTCCTCTGACCTCCTCTGACCTCCTCTGACCTCCTCTGACCTCCTCTGACTGACCTCCTCTGACCTCCTCTGACCTCCTCTGACCTCCTCTGACCTCCTCTGACTGACCTCCTCTGACCTCCTCTGACCTCCTCTGACTGACCTCCTCTGACCTCCTCTGACCTCCTCTGACTGGGGTCAGAGTGTGTGGGATCTCCACATCTCCTCTGGCGGACGTTCGGGTGCGGAGTCACTACTTTAGCTTTAATGTAATTTGAGAGTGGGGGCGGGGCAAGACCATGAAGTGCTTTGTAAATAAGGCAACAGTTTTTAAAATTAATAAAGTTTTGAAAATTGAGCATTTTGTGTTTCTCCAGGATATTGCAGTGATGATATGACCAAGGCTTTTGATCCAGAATTTTAATGGACTTTTTGAAGAGGGTTTCTATGGATTTGATGTGTTTGTCCAGTGAGTGACCAGGTTGTGAAACAATAATCTATGTGTGAGAAAATCATTGCGTGTAGGAACATTTTTGCTGAATTTATTGTCATAAAAGGCCTGATTTGTTTGAAGTTATGTAAATTATACTTTATTGTATCAGCTGTGAGTTTAATATGTTTTTTAAAGGAGAGAGTTGAATCCAGAGTGACCCCGGGAAACTTGAACTCCTCAACAAGGTCAAGCTCAGTGTCTCCAAGGAACACTTTGGACCGACCCAGTTTAATTGATTTTTTTGAGAACATCATTGACACGGTTTTCTTTTTATTTAATAGTAAAGATGAGTTGGTGAGCCACTGCTGTAAGTCTACCAGGGCTGCTGTGAGAGGAGATGATGCCTCCGCAGTTGTTTTAGCAGGAGTAAAAATTACACAATCATCTGCATACATTTGAATATGAGCATTTTGACAAACATTTGGCAAGTCATTGATGTACACAGAAAAAAGTATAGGTCTCAATACAGAACCCTGTGGGACCCCTACAGGGCATTCTAGAAATGACGACACAGTGCCACCCACATTCACACACTGTCTTCTATCAGACAGGTAGGATGTGAACCAAGCAAGAGCTTCCTCGGCCAAGTTAAATTGGGTCAGTTTAGAGAGAAGGGCCTGATGGTCTACTGTATCAAAGGCCTTCTTCAAATCTAAAAAGACTGCACCAACACAGGTGCTTTTGTCAAGCATGAATTTGACAGTTTCTACAAAGACACAATTGGCTGTTTCTGTGGAGTGGTTTTGGCGAAAGCTAAACTGCATGGGGTGCAAGGGGGAGTGGCCATGGCTGAGATGTTGGTTGAGCAGCTTAGCTACCCATTTTTCAGCCACTTTGGACACAACTGGGAGTATGCTAATGGGGCGATAATTTGATCTAAGAGTCTTGTCTCCAGCACGATGGAACAACTCCCTCACTGATTGATAGGTTTATCAAATGAGTGAGCGGACGCACAAGTGTGTCTTTATGTGTTTTTAGGAAATGGGTGTCAATTCCGAAAACAGATTCCGTATATGATCTAGTGCTGACCCTCTGTGCACGTGCATGAAAGCCACACACGCGTATTTGGGGCAAAGCATCATGGGAGCTCGTCCACTGCACAGAACCGGGAGGACCAGACGATGCCCAAATATAGACGAGTTCTGCTAATCTCCCGGTCTCCGTGAAGTCCCATGAGCCACTGAGCACAAGCCGTTCATTTGAATAGGACGCCATCTTGGATCACCGGGGCTTGGGTCTCACAGACCCTACTGTCCTGTCTCCTCATTTGAAAATCAAGACATGCAAATGTTAGCAACCAAAGTAGCACGTTAGCTTCTCCTCCTCTAAAGTGGGGGTCTATAAACCCCGGGACCTTTGTGCTGCCCCTTACCATCGTGGAGAGCTCCTCCAAGTCCCTGATCTCCTGCACTTTCTGAGCGAGGAGGTGCAGAGCGTCACTGCTGCAAGGCCTAAAGGAACCAGGGAGAAAGACATCAGAGGAGGTGGGGGTGAGGAATTTAGGGTGAGGAGGTGGAGGTGGAGGTGAGGAGGTGGGGGTGAAGAAGTGGGGGGGGAAGAGGTGGGGGTGAGGAGTGAGGATGCAAAGGGTGAGGAGGTGGGGGTGAGGAGGTGAGGAGGTGGTGGTGAAGAGGTGGGGTGAGGAGGTGGGGGTGAGGAGTGAGGATGCAAAGGGTGAGGAGGTGGGGGTGAGGAGGTGGAGGTGAGGAGGTGGGGGTGAAGAGGTGGAGGTGAGGAGGTGGGAGTGAGGGGGTGGGGGTCAAGAGGTGGGGGTGAGGAGGTGGGGTGAGGAGGTGGGGGTGAGGAGTGAGGATGCAAAGGGTGAGGAGGTGGGAGTGAGGAGGTGAGGAGGTGGGGGTGAAGAGGTGGAGGTGAGGAGGTGGGAGTGAGGAGGTGGGGGTCAAGAGGTGGGGGTGAGGAGGTGGGGTGAGGAGGTGGGAGTGAGGAGGTGAGGAGGTGGTGGTGAAGAGGTGGGGGGGAAGAGGTGGGGGTGAGGAGTGAGGATGCAAAGGGTGAGGAGGTGGGGGTGAGGAGGTGGAGGTGAGGAGGTGGGGGTGAAGAGGTGGAGGTGAGGAGGTGGGAGTGAGGAGGTGGGGGTCAAGAGGTGGGGGTGAGGAGTGAGGAGGTGAAGCTCACGTGTGCTGGTTCTCCTTGTCCTCCTTGTCCTCCTGGGTGCACCTCCTGCTGGGCCGGTGTCTCTTGCTGAGGAGCGCGGCCTCCATGTCCTGGATCTCCCTCCTCCGCACCTCCCTCAGCGCCGAGCGAATCAGGCGCCGCTGGTCCAGGTCCAAAGTCTCGTCCAACTGTGAGAGCAGAGAAGGTAACGACACCATGAAGGTACCAACACCATGAAGGTACCAACACCATGAAGGTACCAACACCATGAAGGTACCAACATGGTGAAGGTACCAACACCATGAAGGTACCAACACCATGAAGGTACCGACACCATGAAGGTACCAACACCATGAAGGTACCAACACCATGAAGGTACCGACACCCTGAAGGTACCAACACCATGAAGGTACCAACACCATGAAGGTACCAACACCATGAAGGTACCAACACCATGAAGGTACCGACACATGAAGGTACCAACACCATGAAGGTACCAACACCATGAAGGTACCGACACCCTGAAGGTACCGACACCCTGAAGGTACCAACACCATGAAGGTACCAACACCATGAAGGTACCGACACCATGAAGGTACTGACAGATGAAGGTACCGACACATGAAGGTACCAACACCATGAAGGTACCGACACCATGAAGGTACCAACACCATGAAGGTACCGACACATGAAGGTACCAACACCATGAAGGTACCAACACCATGAAGGTACCAACACCATGAAGGTACCGACACCATGAAGGTACCAACACCATGAAGGTACCAACACCATGAAGGTACTGACAGATGAAGGTACCGACACCATGAAGGTACAGACACCATGAAGGTACCGACACCATGAAGGTACCGACACGACAAAGTTACCGACACCATGAAGGTACTAACACCATGAAGGTACCAACACCATGAAGGTACCAACACCATGAAGGTACTAACACCATGAAGGTACAAACACCATGAAAGTATAGACACCACGAAGGTACCAACACCATGAAGGTACCAACACCATGAAGGTACTAACACCATGAAGGTACAAACACCATGAAAGTATAGACACCACGAAGGTACCAACAGCATGAAGGTACCAACAGCATGAAGGTACCAACACCACGAAGGTACCAACAGCATGAAGGTACTAACAGCATGAAGGTACCAACAGCATGAAGGTACCGACACCATGAAGGTACCAACACCATGAAGGTACCAACATGGTGAAGGTACCAACAGCATGAAGGTACTAACAGCATGAAGGTACTAACAGCATGAAGGTACCAACAGCATGAAGGTACTAACAGCATGAAGGTACTAACAGCATGAAGGTACCAACAGCATGAAGGTACTAACAGCATGAAGGTACCAACAGCATGAAGGTACCAACAGCATGAAGGTACTAACAGCATGAAGGTACCAACAGCATGAAGGTACCAACAGCATGAAGGTACTAACAGCATGAAGGTACCAACAGCATGAAGGTACCAACAGCATGAAGGTACCAACAGCATGAAGGTACTAACAGCATGAAGGTACCAACAGCATGAAGGTACTAACAGCATGAAGGTACCAACAGCATGAAGGTACTAACAGCATGAAGGTACCAACAGCATGAAGGTACCAACAGCATGAAGGTACCAACACCATGAAGGTACCAACAGCATGAAGGTACTAACAGCATGAAGGTACCAACAGCATGAAGGTACCAACACCATGAAGGTACCTTCCTGAGATGGTTCTGTGGAGTGAACGAGCTCCCATGATGCTTTGTTCCAAATACTAACGAGCACAAGTGTGTCTCTCATGCACCTGACAGAGAACCTCTGACCAATCAGAGGTTCTCTGTAGGTTCTCTGTCAGGTTCTCTGTCAGGTTCTCTGTCAGGTTCTCTGTCAGGTTCTCTGTCAGGTTCTCTGTCAGGTTCTCTGTAGGTTCTCTGTAGGTTCTCTGTAGGTTCTCTGTAGGTTCTCTGTCAGGTTCTCTGTCAGGTTCTCTGTAGGTTCTCTGTAGGTTCTCTGTCAGGTTCTCTGTAGGTAAGTAAGTAAGTATGTAAGTAAGTAATGTTTATTTATATAGCGCCTTTCACAGACCAGAGTCTCAAAGCAGTTTACAATTGTTATTTTTTGGGCATTTGTCTCTCACTCCACACAGAGATGGGAGGGGCCAGTGCAGGAGGCGCATGCCAGACCTATTGTACATATTTTTAGTGGTAGGGGAAACCGGAGCACCCGGAGGAAACCTACGCAGACACGGGGAGAACATGCAAACTCCACTCAGAAAGGCCCTGGTCCGACCGGGATTCGAACCCAGGACCTTCTTGCTGAGAGGCGAGAGTGCTATTCACTCAGCCACCATGCCGCCCTCCTCTGGTCCTCTGTCAGGTTCTCTGTCAGGTTCTCTGTCAGGTTCTCTGTCAGGTTCTCTGTCAGGTCCTCTGTCAGGTCCTCTGTCAGGTTCTCTGTCAGGTTCTCTGTCAGGTTCTCTGTCAGGTTCTCTGTCAGGTTCTCTGTCAGGTTCTCTGTCATGTTCTCTGTCAGGTTCTCAGTCGGGTTCTCAGTACCATGAGAATCCCAGAGCACATGGTCCTTCAGCTCAGCTGTAATACACTGTCCACATATTATTATAGAGAGACCCCTGGTGGTAGGAGTGAGAACTGAGGAGAGAGACCCCCAGTGGTAGGAGTGAGAACTGACATCCTTTAAACAGCTACAGACACACACAGACACACACAGACACACACAGCCCCTGC